CGGCGATTGGGGGGGCACGCTTGAAACAGGTCGGTTTCCTGGGGACCCGTTTGCGAGGCCATTGGATGGCTCCGGATGCATAAGAGTGCAGCTCGGCCGAAAGCGGGCGGAAAGCGAAAGGTTTTGGCCCGTTTCAGGCTGGTGAAAAGGTGCAACGGAAAGGAAAATCCGCAATTGCTTGGGAGTCCTTATTTTTGTTTCACGTACCCATTCACACAAGGAATTGCTCATTTGACCCCCTGTGTTTCTCTCCTTGATTTTGTTAGATTTCCCAGCGGGTGGTCAAGATGCCCAACAGCCAAGAGTTGATTTCCATCTCCTTGGCTCCTAAGCACGGGATTCACGCGGCTGAATTTCGTTCATGTCAGGCTTGGAGAAAACTTCTGTGCATATTCCTTCGGGGAGCGAGCTGCACGCCCGTTCCATAGAGCCCATTGTGCTCATGTCTCCTGGTGTCTAAGGGTTGTTGTATTACACCCTGGCATTACACCCTTGGGAAATGGCCCAACATGGTCCAAAATAACATGATTTTATCCCGGAAATATGCCTAAATGGGGTCATTTCCCAGTGGGCTTAATCCCAGGGCGTAATACAAAAACCCTTAGATGGATTAGTGGCGCAGGTCAAACGAGCAAAAGTGGCGGCGTCCTATGGAGAACAGGCTTGTCCTTTCCAGACTGCCTGATTGAGGCCAGCACAAGCCACACTAGCTAAAGGCAAACACAGCCAAACACGCGGGGCAACACTCAGCCAAAGGCAATAGGTGCGGCTTGCAGTTTACTTCCATTACGCAAAGATTCGGTCTGCAAATCAATAGATGGATCTGAGCTTTTGCTTGCCCATGCCCTTGTAGCCAACAATGTGCAGGGAGGTCTGTTGTGGAGCGAACCCTTTTTGGGGTTGGCTCAAAGGGAATCCAAGAAAAACATGGTTTTTCAGGTCCCCCTCTTTTCGCACATGCCCAGAATATGATGCTTGGCTGTTTTTGGTGGATTCGTGGGTTTCGAAAGGGATCCCCGGAGTGGCTTTCCACTCATTGTGGGGCATTGGCCAACACCTACAGCTCAGCAAGGTGGCCCTTTGTACAATTCGCGTGGTTTCCTTTGAGGAAGCGGTACCAGCCAGAGTGCGAGACATCTAGAGACATCTTTCACTGAAAGCTCAACTTGGGACCGGGTGCCTTGGTGCAATTCTCATGGTTTCCTCTGGGAATATGGGACGCCCGAGCCTCTTGATGGAACAAGGTCTGTGTCGCGATCTTCGATGCCACAAACACCACCAAGAAGCGCGGAACTGGGCGAGCGCAGGGGGGAGTGGGGCTCCACTTTTTTGATCCTGCCAAGCACGCAATGCTGTGTGTTGTGGACATGCGTGGTGACAGGCCCAGGGGACGCTTCAAATTTCGAAACGGATACCAATGTCATCAAGTGTTTGGTCCGGTGGGTTCTGTGGTTGCCTTCAGTAGCGAAACCTGCACCTTCAGCAGTTACAAGCTTTTCTTGTCGGCTTCGGCCATGGATGGATACTTTCAGGAAAGGATATTTTCCCTTGATCAGTTTCTGACTGTTGGCAGTGATTACAGCCCTCTTGTCTTGGAGTTTTTATCACTGCGAGCAAGATCCAGTCGCCCAGGAGTATGCCCCTGTCTCCATTTAGTTGCGCATTATTTATAACAAACAGCGGCGACTTCACCAGACGGTATTGGTAGTTAGCTGGTTCCGGGAGGATCTCGGGGGGGGATGATGTTTAGTACGTTTATTATTATTATTCAAGCGTCACATGCTTTGAATTCCACGCAAACCCAACAGGGATGACAGGGAAGACTACTCTATCAAGGGGAAGCTGACTGTTCAGTGGAAGAGGGTAGCCAGGCGAATCCTCCAACCTGTTCAATCACGTTCCAACCACCAAATAGAGGGTGAACATTTATTTTGTGTTGCAAGATATCAGCACACAAGTGAAGGACAGGGAGAGTCCGAACTTTGATACAGGTTTGGCTTCTGGCTCATGCCCATTTAGGTTGTGGACTCCACTAGTTGCTGCACTCTTTTAACACCCTCAAAACAGGGCGGCAATCCGCAGGAGAGATTCCCCTACCAAAACTGCAGTTTCTTTTTTGTTGGGTTCCTCGCCTTGCGTTCGAGCACTCGCTTTTCGCAAAAAGAAACCACTCAACGTGACCCCGCGATGGCGGAAGTCGAATTCAGGCGGCGCCAGCGGATCATGGAGAAGTGCCGCCAGGTCACAGGGATCACCCCCGCCCTTCGCCCGCATCCGATCCAACGAATCGAATCCGCCGGACGGAAGGGGCGGAAGGGGCGCCTGTGTTTGGTGCTGTTCCTTTTTGGCCTTTGGGCAGATTGGTTTAGAGGGTAGCCTCGAGGAAAGCCAAACCCAATTTTTGGTGTCCAGAAAAAAAGAAGGAGAAAAAAGGCGAGAAACTGTTGGAAGTGCTTTTCCAGCAACAACCTCTCCCATAGGTTTGGGGCGTAGCCATGTTGAATCTAAGGTGGTGTCCACTACCCACAAATTACCAGCACAAACAGAGTTTAGAACCAAGAAGCTTAGACTCAGTAGTAGGATCCTTAAGTAGTGTGGGGGTTGTGCTGTGGATTGTTGGTTTGCACAGGGGCGGAGAGTTGGAAAAGTGGACGTGCTTGGTTGCTCTTTGGTTCGACCGTGGCTGCGGCAACGACAGTTTTGCAATAGGACAATAGGATGACCGGAGCTTGGACGCTGACCTTTTTGTTTTCCGACTTCATGTTGCTCCAATGTATCATTCAATAGGGCGAAGACCGAAGCTTGGGCACATGCATTGTATGTGTTTGTTCTCGTCCTTTGCTGTGGCTGACATGCCAAGGACCAAGGGCTGGCAAGTTTGCCTTCGATTTGTGGGGCTAATAGTTGTGCCCCACCATCCTGCAGAACTTAGACTGTTGCTTTGGTGCATTTTGCTTGGATGTTATATAGGGCTTTGACTTTTTGCCAACTAGTGGATTTTCCATAAGACATAAAAGTTAACTTTCAGCAGGTTGTGTCTCCAGGAGTTTAATCATTTGCAAGCAGTGTCAACGGACAATGGATTTGTAGATTGCTTTGTGGTGGTCAGTTTGCTGGTTTTGGGATTGAATTGGGGTAGGTTCCGGTTGAGGGAAATTCTAGTTTGAAGGCAAGCTAGCATGTGAACAATAGCCGGACTTGGCCCAAGTCAAAGCTGACCGTTTGGTTTGATGGCTTCCAGCTACTTTAGGCAGGTTGGAAGTTCAAGTCTGACGTGTTTGCACGTCACTGAAATGATTGAACGGACTTCAGTCCTTGGTTTGTGTTTAGGCAACGGCTAAACCAGGGTGCTGAATCACCAACACATTGGTTGTATCCTCCAGCGGTTCTTGTTTTGGCTATGTGTCAGCATGGTAAGTTTCGGAGCATGCAATGCACAAATCTTCAAGGGGAAGCGCGAAGAGATTGCGACCTCCAAGAAGAACTTGGGACCTTCGTGGCGCTTCCTTTCCAAGGTCTTTGTGGAGAGCATCTGCGACAACAAGGCGAATGTTGGATCCGATTGCCGGCAACCCGAGCTTTCCACATGGACATATGTCAAGACTCCTAGGAGACAGAATCGTGGGCTTCCCTTTCGGTTTCCCCTTAAACTAACCTGGAAAAGGGTACCAAGCCTCAAGTACTCACTCCCTGAGTTCATGAACTTTAAGCACTCAGCCAGTGAGAGTACTCCTGACCGTGGCTCAGATGTCTTCTCCAATGGCTATTTCACATTTTAGGCTTAGTACCTGTGGACCACAAGCTGATACATATGGTACTCCCCCCTGGAAGACTCAGGTTTTTGGCCAGAAACTGACATTTTGGCTTAAAATCTTAAAACATGCATGTAAAACGCACGTTCCAGCTTCTAAAAGTGAGGTCTAAAAATGCGCTCCTTTCTTAGACTTAAATTCTAGCATCGGTACTTGGTGCAATTCAGGATGTGCTAGCACGTGCTACCACATGCTGGATTGAAGATTGAAGATCTTCTGACAATTCTTTCTGGGAATCTCCAATGCTGGACTTAGGGCAATCCAGGGTGAATGGATTTGAAGATTTCCAGAACTAGCGGTCTGAGAATCTTCTATCTTCAATCCAAGGACGTGTCAGCACGTGCTAGCACAAGTGAGTCTAGAACTAACTGTCAAGCATTATGGGGGCCAGGATTGAGGATACAGTATGTTTGTGGAATCTTGTATATTCGATCTTCGGTCCAGGGCAACACGATTTGAGCAAGTGCTGAAGAACACCGCGTTTTGCCCGCATCAGATCTATGAAAGCACTTTTCTGTCATTGGCTTGGCTCAGCTCTTGCTTGGTGAAAACAACACGGAGTTAGATAAGGACTGTTGAAATTGAGTTTGATTCCAAGCTCGTCTGGCCATGCCAATACCTATGTTCTCCAACTGTTTTTGTGAAATGCGCAAGAAACTGCAAACAATTAAGACTTATTTTGGTTTGAACTCGAAAGCGTTTCAAATTTGATATCCTTTTTACATTTCATTTTCAACAGTTGCTATTGACGATGATTCAAGCAAATTAAAAACAAGCAACACACAACTGAGATGGTTGCTCTGCAAAAAGTGATTTAGCCAGACTGAGGTAGAATGATCCCCCATTCCTGAAAAACCATGCATTTTTGCTTTATGCATTCTAAAGCGTGCATCTTTGCAGGCCATGCCCGGTATGTTGAATGCTGTGCCTGGGCAGTTGAAGCTGCGGGTATGTTGAAAGCTGCGCCTGGGATGTTGGTTGCGGTGCCTTGGCTATTGAAAGCTTGGCCTGGGCTGTTGAAGGCGATGTTTGGGATGTCCGTGGCTCGCTTTGGTTGGCGGTTGCCTGCTGTGCCTGGGATGTTGCCTCGGCAATTGAAAGCTTGGGCTGGGCTGTTGACGGGCGGTTGCTCGCTTTGGTTGGCGGTTGCCTGCTGTGCCTGGGATGTTGCCTCGGCAATTGAAAGCTTGGGCTGGGCTGTTGACGGGCGGTTGCTCGCTTTGGTTGGCGGTTGCCTGCTGTGCCTGGGATGTTGCCTCGGCAATTGAAAGCTTGGGCTGGGCTGTTGACGGGCGGTTGCTCGCTTTGGTTGGCGGTTGCCTGCTGTGCCTGGGATGTTGAAAGCTGCGCCTGGGCTGCGCGCTGTGCCTGGGCTGTTGACAGCTCTGCAAGTTGATGGGCTGCGCTACTTGGAAGCTGCGCCAGGTCTGTTGACAGCCGCGCATGCGTTGTTGGAAAGGCTGTCGTTGCAGATCTCAAACTGTGGACCTCTTCAAGGCTTTCCTTTGCAATGTTATGTTTCATGGTTGTGTGGATCCATAATTGCATGGGAGCTTTTGATTGTCACCTAAAACAATAGTCACAGTCGTATGTACACATATGTGTGTGCGTCTCCTTTGTTTTGAGTTTGTGTGTATGTAGTGCTGTGCGCGGGTTGGTGCCAAAAGACACGGTTGTTTTCGAAGCAACTGCAGTTGTATTGGGTCTGGCGAAAAGCTACAAGCTGGGATTTGGAACATGCTTCACAAATATGTGTTTTGTGTTTTGCAAGAGGATCACGAGAACTCAGAGCGGAGTGCAGGTTAGAAAAAGACAAAGAAGAGCAAGAAGGACCGGAGCCGTCGGAGGCGACGGGACCCCTCTTCTTACAGCGTCTGATGGGTCGTTTCGACGAAAGCTACTGAAGCACTTGGGATCTTCCAGCGATCCGACAACGGAACGCGTTCGTGTAAAGGAGGGCGATCGAATTCATATCCCCCGTTTTCCGAAACCCGAACAGTACCGTAATTGGAGGATCAAAGTTAGGGATCCACTTCTGATCAACCGGAGAAGGCATTTGAGTGGATTGAAGAAACATGGATCCCTGCTCAAACGACCGAAATCCTTCGTGATTCAGGCATTTTCGTTCATCTCGATGCGCAGTTGGCATCGGCACTGACCAACATCTTGGAAGGCAATCTCGCACGTCAGGTTGATATCTTCAAGGAGCAAGAGGCGAAGGAGAAGAGATATGCTAGAGGCCGCCAGATCCTATTGATGGTGCGCAAGTATTTCAGTACAAACAGCAAGCACGGCGCCATTTATGATTTCGAGGATTTGCTTTCAGTTCAGCTTATCAACGAGGACTTGAGGAATTTCATCACCAGATGACTTCCTGACCTGCCTGTGGAACAATGCCTCGAGGGTCTTTTTGTTCATGCCAGCGAGGACGGCATCCACCGCCCCCTCACTCACGACCTCAACGAGAACGAACAAGCGGAGGAGGGAATTGAGAAGCACACCTACAAGTTCTTCATCGATGCTGCCAGGAATCATTTGGAGAGAAAACGGCTTGTTCATATGAGAGATGCAATGTCGAGCAATTCAACAGGACGTGGCCGGACTGCGTCGAACTATCCTGCTGTTCCTGGAGTTCTCAAAGGTGTGTGCATGAAGTTTCAGACTGGCCAATGCACCTATGGAGCTGACTGTCGTTTTGAGCATGTGAAAGCACAAAAGGGCAAGGGGAAGGGCGGTCGACGAGGCTAGAAAAAGCGTGAGCCAGATGATGTGTGCTGCTACAAAACACGCCCGCGACAAATAGAACACAATATTCCCAACCACTCCCGCTCCCCCCCCCCACACCGTAAAGATTTTGGAAGGGTTTTTGCCTTGACCCCTGAATTATGTTGACATTGGATTGCGTCATGAGGATCCCAGAACTCCAGATGAATTCCAAAAGGAGCTTTGGTCCTTGTTTGCATTTGATTTAGTATTGCTGAAAGTTCCTATTGAGTTTGATTTGAGCTTCCACTTGTTTGATTTAGTATTCGTGGATTTGGGATTCCATTTGATTTAGTATTGCTCTAGCTTCCTTTTGAATTTGCTTTGAGTTTCCAGTTGATTTCGTATCACTTTCCACTTGGTTTAGTTTACTATTGCTGGAACTTCCTTTTGAATTTTGCCCCCGTCTGGCCAACAACTTGAGTATTTCAAGGGGTAGCATATATATATATATATGTATACATATATTTGTACATTGGTGTGTCTTTTTCTGTGTGCAAGATTTAAAGAGGGTGGAAGTGAACCCCCTCCCCCGGGCGAACCATACCCCAAAGCATACCCCCGAACCACACATTGAAACATGTTTGTGTGTGAAACTGCTACTGCTACTGCTACTGCTGATGCTATTGTTGTTGCTACTGCTACTTCTACTGCTACTACTACTATTACCACTACTACTACTCTGACATGGTTTTGGCTTCTTTTTGCGAACCATACCTCGAACCATACCCCCCGCAGCATACCCCGACCAACAACTTCGAGGGCCGGGAACGTTATTCTGAGACAGACGATATATGTGTGTGGACCCATGTGCCCTATTTGTGGCCTGGCTTGCTCAATCCCGTTTGGTGCGAAGCGGATACAACCATTCTCAGCACGGACCCCCACCATCAGCACCATGTCCAGTTACGCAGCTGCTAGCTGGCTGAGTTGAACGTGTTCCACAACCTGTTGGCTATTGCGTGACATGTTTTCAGAGCCTTTTCAGATTCCCTCCCTCCTATCTGTCAAGGTACCTCACACGCCTCGCGCCAGGAATCAATTGATCACGAATGTATTTTGTGTTGGACAATATGGTTATAATGTACACTCTTCGGATACGAGTCATAACATTTATGTAACCTTCCTGCTGCAAGTCCCTGCGTAGCAGGGGAATCAGTGGGTGTTTTTCATTTCTGGGCAAGGTTGGACCTGTCAGGTGTCCGGTTTGTTTTGAGGGCTTGCTTGTCGCATGTAAGGGTACTTGGTAAACCACCCCGAAGATCGGCCTTGCTAAGATCCACCTATCCAAACCACCAAGTCCTACACAAGATGCATGGGCGCGTCTTCAATTCGGGCACCCCCTTAAAATCGTTTAGCTTCCGTTGCCAAGGGAAGCCAAGAGTTGCCCTCAACCACAGAGGATTCCCTTGCAAAGAAGGTGCCTTTTGGAGGCATCTTTTATTATTGGGGAAGCCTCATGAACCCGTTCCCAATCGGAGCAACCCCTGGAATTGCACGTCATGACCGCTTGTGGGGCAGAATGGGTGGATGGAATTGGGGGGCACCCCTGCTATTTGTTCAGCCGCTCGGTTTTGCGCTAAAACAACGGCGGACGAGTGGCCTATGCATGCGCTGTGTTTTGCTTCGCTTTGACACCTGTCAGTCAGCGATTTGAGATGGGGAAGTGACCACCCGCAATTTCCCCGAAAGGTCTTGGGTCAACCCACTATTTAAACATGTTTAAGCAATTGATTTGTAGATATGTTTTAGGGTGTTCCCTCTTACAGAGGCCCCTGGTTCGTTGGTTTAGGCCCCTTGTGCCCAGTGGTCTTTTGGGACCGCTGGATCATTTCTTAGCATCGCAGGAGATCCTGGAAAGGAACTACTCGTTGAAGTTGGCCAACGATGACTACAGGCTCAGCCCTTTGAAGGGAAGCACCCTGGAAGCAGTCCCCACCATGTTTGGAGAAAATCAGTGTTTCCAGACTTCCTATGGTTGGTCCTCGAATCCCAGTATCTGGCCGGAAGCCACAAGTTTCTGTTGGTGGGCGTGATGCAGCTTTCGCTTTTCCAGCCCTCGTGATGAACTAGGGTACCCAGAATGGGTTCAAACTTTGGGGAATCTGTCCAGGGTAATCCACGTGAAACATCAGCATGTGGCTGACATATTTTGATGGAAGCCTCACTCAATGACTCAGAATTGTCGGACAAACCTGATGTGAATGATGCCCCCCCCCCATATTTCGATGTACCACCTCCATGTCTTGAACATGTGTTGGGCCAAGCCAAAAAGGAGGAGAGACATGTCCGGACCAGCAGGATGTCGGGGCCGTGGCACGCTCGCCTGGTCTCGCCTGGTCTCGCAGGGCTATGGACCCGGTAAAGGCAAAGATCGACTTCCTGAAGCGCGTGGAGGCCAAAGCGACATCAGCATTGCCAGTTGGTACCAGGGTTGGTGCCAATCCCTTGGGAGCATGGTCGTTTTGTCCCCCTTCGAAGCGGGGCCAGGGTGGTTGTTTGACCACGCTTTGCCCAACCTTGGAGCTCATCTCGGGGAAGACTAAATCGACGTACCTGGGCTCAGTGTTTTTGGCGGGACAACTGCTTTCTTCGTGGTCCTATATGTCCCAACCGGGTGAGAACCGCAAGGCAGTGATGGTGTCAGAATCGGGTGTGGTTCCTCGTGAAAAACCCCCTTGGAGACTTGGGCTTTGGAATCCCGAAACAGTCCAGGGGCAGGTGCTGTTCAGCTTCTTGGTAGAAAAGTGTTTCAATGGAGAGATCCATGATTATTCTGGGAGCAGCTCTTCCTGCGGTGGATTCACAACTGCAGCAGCTAGGATAGATGAATCCCTGTGCATACTGGGTTAAGAACCTAGCAACTGATGCGAAGGGGGAACCTGATCGATGAGTCCCTTCTAGTCCATGCTACGCACTCTTGTTTTGTTTGTTGCTTAATGTTTCTTAGCTCTGGGCCGTTTGTTCTGTCTATGGATTTTGCGAGATTGTTTATGTTTCCTTTGTATGTTGTGTCTAGTATAGGTTTGTTTGGTTCATTCTGTTCATGCCGAGTGGCTGAACCAGACAACGAACATCGACTCTGACCCATTCGGATCGCAGCGACTTGCGCTCCAGGAGTACAAGTCGAGGTATCAGACGGTGTCGGACCTGGAGGATGACGGGGAGATTTGCTATATCAAGCTGTTCAACGTGGGCCAAAAGGCCGCCACAAGTTCATTCGAGTTTCGGAATTGGCTTGGTTGGGCGCAAGGCTCAAAAAATATTACTTGAGTTGGGAAGACCGTTTCGGCGGTAAAGAACAATTTAGACCTTTTCGGGATTTTTCGGAGCAACCTGGAGTGAGGAATTCAGGGACCCCATAAACAAACAACCTTCCCCCAAAGCTCGACACCAAGGCTTATTGGGTAGTGACTAGTGAGCCTCTCCTCAAACAATATGGGGGGTCGACAGTAAAAGCCCCCAACAACACGCTGGGGCCTGGAGTTGCGCCTGCTCAAGTAGTCTCCCGGTAAGGAATGCTCAGAAATGGCTTAAGTTTTTTTCTTTTCTGGTAGTCCTTTGAGCTGGAGTACGGTTTAGAATCGGTTTAGTAGTGATTTAGCATTCCTGTGGCATGGGTCAGCAGCCTCTAGAATTGGTTTAGTATTGGGTGAATATGCTTTGGGCTGGCCCAGATAACGGTGTTTTCTCATGTTTCTATCCTTGAACATGTATCATGATGCCCTTTCCGGCGCTGTACCACCCCTTGGGAAGCTGTTCTTCCTGTGTCATAAGATATTTTGGCTAGCCTCAGTTGGCTTTGCCTGCTTGGGATTGGCTGGGTATTGGTTTACGTTTGGTCTAGCATTGTTTTAGTTCTATATAGTTGGTGTTGCGTTAGCTTTAGTATTGATTGCCATTGCATTAGTATAGGTGCAGTGAACACTTGTCGGTTGTCTTGCAACCGTAGGATACGAGTGTCCAAAAGAAGGGGGGTTGCCAAAGAAGTTGCTCCACCTTGTTTGAGGCGGAGTAAGGCCATTCGTGTTCGGTCCGGTCGCGATGGATGTCGATTCATTGGCTTTCGCCAGGTGGAGATGCATCACTGCTCTGGCTATTTGATGAGTCAGATGCTTGACTCTACAGTTGGTTGAAGTTGAATTGCACAGTTTTGCCATGTAGTTTTGATCATGCCGCTTGCTTGACAAAGGGAAATTGTGACATCTACCTTCACCCATATTATGCAGCTCTGACAGGTTCAACAGCGGTACGTGAAGGTTAGTATGGGCTTCCATGTGCCCAGTGGTGCCAAGAAGTAGAATTCATCCCCCTTTCGCAATGTTTGTCCGATACGTTTGATTTCACCTAAAAAGTTCACCACGGTTTTCGGTTGCTTCACTTGTAAGACCTCAGGCCAACGCAAGGCGGTTGGTCAAGCCACACTGAGGAAGCAGTGATCAATTTTGCTAAGAAACAGCATTCCCCCAGTTCCTGATTTGACATTACGCAAAAACCGGAGGGGGGGGCAAGAATATAAGTCCATCTTTGTAGGGCTATTTCCATGGGCCACAAAACAAGAAGGAGATCAGCCACCACATTGTCAAAACAACAAAACGCCCATCCATGTTGGTTCTTGGCTCACCTGCCGTGCTTCGCCGAAGCGGTTTATCAAAAACAACTCTGCAAGTGGCGTCTGCTAGCCGTAGGTTCAGAGGTGCTCATGGGGTGGGAGAAACGGAGAAGGATGCAGACTGGTGGATTCATGTTCGGGGTGTCTCTAATTATCAGGGAGCCCTAAGCTTTTTTTTGAAGCAACCCCTATTCATTCACCAGGTTAGTTAATCCATGGCCGATAAAAAAGAAAAAGAGAATGGAGGACCAACCTTAGAATAGCTGATCGGCAGAGTTGGACACGCATTCCCATGAAAGCACATCCCCGCTAATTCCGCTGACAGTTTTGGTAGTTACTTTGCACGTCTCCAGCAAAACGGGAGCAAATAGGTTTCGCTGTTGACAAACAGGTGGCGTTCAAGGCCGCCTTGTGAGGGGAGGGGAATTTATTTTCGGGAACCCTGGAAGGGTTTGTTCCCCGCCGGTTTGGGTGTCAAAGGGTTTTCGTGTCCCCGCTTTGGAACACGCTGATCCCTTTGCAACCTGTCAAGAGTTGATTCCCGCACTGGGGGCTGCGTTTTCCAAGAAGTTGATCCTAAAGCGACCGCCCTGCTTGGGGACAGCAACCATTCTTGTTTGGAGTCCATGCAAGCCCGGATTCTTGCTGCCCTGACGGTGTTGTGTCTGGACCTGAAAACCTGCTGGCAAACAGCCTTTAAGGTTTAAATCCCAAAGACCTCAAGTAAGACTCGGCAAATGCCCCTTGTCGGCCAAGCAATTTGCTTGATGCTGGTCAGTGGTTATAAATGATCGCCGTGTCGCTTTTTGAATCCCGATCAAGGCAGGAAAGAGGGTTGTGAAGGGAGGCTAAAGGAGGCAACAAATGGCCCCCAAACCAATGGGCCTACCGGACCTCTATCGGACTCCCCGTAAGGAGTGTGGCTGACATGCTCCCCATGGAGTCTCCACAGTTTGACATGAAACACGAGCGCGACTCGCCCCTTTTCCTGGTACAATGTAATTGAATAAAAGTAGCTCACTCGCCTGGACTAATCATCGGCTAAACAGGGTTGCTCACCCAAAGAGGGCGAATGAAGCTTCACCACATGGGCCTTGGCAATCCAAATGAGGTAGAGCGGCGTCTACCCAAGTTGGCGGTTCCCACGAAAGCAATTGGGTGGGAGTTTTTGGCTTTTGGCTCGGCCCCTTTTTGAGACTCGAGGTGGTTTGAAAGTACATTGATTACGGGTCCCCGGAGATAAAAAGCACACACACACACACACAAGTTTCGCACGTGTCCGTTTCGCGAATTTCGGCTCAGCTTCCCGAGTTGAGTGATGCAGTTCGCGGGCAAACGGCCATGGGATGGGTCCGGTTGGCCGGATGCCGCATCCCCATCCAGCAGCAGTCGGGCGAGAACCTCCGCCCCGCGGTTTTGTTTCAGCTCATTTGGTGCGAAGTAACTCATAATGTTTCAGTTAATTACCCGAGGGAAACAAGAAGGGGATGGCTAATGTGTCCAGACCTCCTAGTTGACACCCAAGTTGACTTGAGGGACGCTCACCAAAGTTGACCCCCTTGGATTACTGCAGAAGTCGTCACTCACTTGCCCAAAGGCAACCGGACTTCAGCAGTCGGTGTTCTCGATGTGGGTATATTTTTCGGGGACCACCAAAGCTGCCAGGAGGACCAAAATGTAGCTGTTGGTTGTTGCTTTGTGGCTTGAACTGTGTCTACTTGTTGGCCATTGATCTTTGCTGACAGAGATGCATGGATATATTAGGACAATGGCTGCCTCTTTCGACATCACCAGAATGTAAAGATATCAATTTTAGTGGGGCAACAGCGGAAGGCCATGTGTGCCAACGGAGCGCGTCCTGCGTGTAGTGTTGCTCTGGATTCCTAAGACAGGGGAGGGTTCTTTTCGTCCCTTCAAATGGGCCCTCCCGTCTTCTGGGACTTTGTTTGATCGTTTTTGCTGGCCAGAATCAACATTAACTATTTTGCTGGCCGGTGGCCAACACTGGGGTAGTCTTTCCTCACGGGGCTTTGCCTCCTGGATTCTGATAGCCATGGGTACCTTGAAATGTTCGAGCGCTCAGGAGCCGGAGGCCATGACGCAGGAAGAGGAGGAGTTCTTTCGCTGCTTGTCGTTTGGTTGGTCAACGGGGACCCCCATTCCAAACCCAGGGGTCCTTCTTTCTGAAAACCACCAAAATCCTGGGAAAATGGATGTTTTTTGACAAGAACGATGGCTGAAAAGAATGGGGAATCAACCGCTAGAATATTCCCCTTTTTCATGTGGTCGTGAGTTTGGCTGTGGTTGGGGGGTTTCGATTGCATCCCTTCAACTAAACACTTGGGGGAGAGGTGGCTTCGATCATGGTAAAGCAGTGGAGCCAGGTCAAAGACCAGCTCGGTTTGCCAAATGTGCAGATCAATTCTTTCCTGCGCGCTGCTGCGCTGATAGTCCCCTCCGCGTACTAGTCCTTTTTTGGCAGTTTTTTGCCCTTGACTACTCGAGTTTTCTTCACGACCTTGTATATTTCGCGGGATCCGGCCAACTCCAACCAAAAACAACCATCTACCCAGCCAAACCCAAGCCCAACCCAAGCTAAACTCTTTGCACAGGCCTTGCTCACCTCCTGAGTTCATGAAAACTTTATCAACTTTTCGGGTTTGGACCATTCTAGTGGCAAAGGATAAAACAGTTTGGACTTTGGTTGCCATCCACTCAGCAAGTGAGCTTCTTGTCCTTGAGGTTTGACCGGGCTGAAGCCTGAGCGCTTCCAAGAGCCGCCGGCCGCTGCTGCAGCGCCGGCGCCGGCGCCCCCGAAGCCTCCAGTGCCCCCGGCTGCGCCGGCGCAAGCGCCATGACTCAGGGGCCCGGGGCAGAAGCGCAGAAATGTTTCGAATGGGGTGGGGTCCTTCAACACCATTGCAGTGATTGTGGCAATTGAAGCCATGAATAAGTTGTAGCCATGGGTCAAAACACCAAATCGGTTAGCCCCCAGTGGACATCCCAATCCAAGCACTAAAATGGGTTCTAAATGGGTGGTGAATGCGCCGACCCCAAAATGGATCCCATTGGTTTTGACCCACAGCCAAATATTTAGAATGGGGTTGTGGGGGTACTTTCAAACCATTCCAGTGATTGTGGTAATTCAATCCATTGGTAGTTTGTCCCCTTCAGATTTGAATCACTTTCATGTGACTACATGAAGTGACATGAGTGAGAAAGCGAGTAATGAGTCATCCGGACCCAAACTAGTGAAATGAGAGCCTTGATGGCCCCTGATGAAGTTCCAAAAATCATCCGATTCCCCCCTCACCCCGAGCCTCAACCCTCCAAAGCCCTGGTGTCCGTCCCTGTAGTTTCGGACTCCGGGCCCTTTAAAGGGGCCCGTTTTTGGAGCCGTGTTTTGGGGGAACCTTGCAGCGTGGGGAAGATTTGTGGCCTGTTTTTGATTGGCATGTTTAGGGATTTTTGCAGACCCCTCCAAGGGCAAATGGTGGAAAGGGAGCGTTTCCTGTCTTCCCGAAGGCCAAGCGAGACAACACCTCATGTCTTCTGTTTCAGTTTGCGTGTTGCCCGTTCCCCGTGGCTGATCCCGAAACTCCATCGGTTTTTTTGGCTTCACTGTCCCTTCTGTTGAGACTAGCGCAAGAGAATGTGGCCTTAAGGCAGGGAGAGGCCCTTGTCAACCGGCGCATTGCCCTGAGTGCCCTCGTGAAAGTCAGGCAACGGCGGAGAGCTGGTGCCAAGGCAGCTGGCAAGGAAACTGGCCGCAGCCTCAAGGCTGTCAAGGGACTTGGCCGCAGGCGGGTTTGGAGAGCACACGTGGCAAGGCTTCGGAGACATTTGCCAGTGTTTGAAAGCCGGCCTTTGACCTGTCAAACCTTTTTGGCGAAATCCGCAACGGCTATGCTAGTAGTTCTTGTACTTTCGGTGGGCAAGATTTGGACGTTTGAATTTTCCCGTCGTTATTTCGTCTTGAGGGTTCGTGCAAATAGCGAATTTTCATTATTTTGTGTGGCATCCTTAAATTGAAGAACAATAACGTCATTCTGAGTCATAGTTGTCCCAATTTCCTCATGAATTCATCGGGGGTTCCGGGGTGTACTTCCCTTGGAGGTTTTTTAGGTGTCCTGAAGGGGCAGGTCAAACCAATTGCAGTTGTCCCATGAGGCGTTGTATTTTGAGGGCATAGTTATGGGCTGGTTCCAAAGCCAAACAAGAAGGAAACCTACCCCCACCGCCATATTGCCCCATTTGATCATTTTTCAGCGGTGATCATCTTCAATGATCTTCTTGGGTGGGAAAAGCCCATCCCCAGAAACCCCCTGAGCCCTTGCGCCCTTGCTGAACTCGAGCCTGGACAGCAAACGCCCAGCCTTTCGAAACTTCCAGAAAGCCCACAATCGGTCCAGACCTCCCCAAATCCCGATCCTTCTCACAAGCACCTGGCGTGGATGGCGCCTTTGGTTTGTTCCATGCTCGTCGGAATCGGTTGTTCAAAGCCGACCTTTCGACCTTTTGCTTTGCCATGTTTCATTGGTGGGGGTCCCAAGGGGTGACCACCTTGCATTTCCAGGTCCTGTTGACCTTTTGGTCTCCCATTTTTGGTTCACTTTTGGGGTCCCAAAAGGTGATCACCTTCTATTTCCAGGTCCAAAGTGGTTGGCTGAGTCACGTGTTGAGGAGGACGCTTCCTGGCAGTCCCCCAACGCCTGGCCGGACGCTGCCACCTGGGCGAAAGAAGGCGCCTGGTGCGGCGGCTCCGGCGCCGGGAATGCGAACGCGTCTCGGCCGTAGAGTCTGAGGGAAGCCAATGGACACCTTCCATTTGCTGAAGAAAATTGTTGATTTTCCCTTGTTGGTGTTAAAAGGAATTTATCACTACTGGACATATTTTCATTTTTCCGGGGGTCTTAACCAAATGGAAGAAACTTGAACGCGGAACGGTGGAAAGTGAAGTGGAGACTGGGAGAGACATATCCTTGACAACCTTGAAAGGGAAACTTATGAAGTTAGGCATAATGTCAGCATAGAAGCGAAAGTGGGCGGTGAACACACCAATGGAAGCGGACAGTTTCATAGCCAGACCTAAGTGGCGTTTCTCGCGAAGCAAACGGCGCAGAGTTGGCACAAGCGACGTTTGCTTTTGCAGGAAGATGGCAAATAGCTGTGGGTCAAAACCAATGGTACCATTGTGGGGTAGGTGCACCACCCATTTTAAGCCTATTTTAGTGGGGGATTGGGATGTTCACTGTGGGTACGGACTTTTGACCCACAGCCAAATGACACGGCCGTTAAGAAAAATCCGAGGAGGAGCCCTTGATGGGCTCCATGGGCGAAGCGGGCGGCGGAAATTGCGGCGGCTGCGGCTGCGGCATGCCGCAGGCGCAAGCTCGCAAGCACCGAGTAGGGCGAGCCGTGTCGCGGAAAACTCTTCCATTTGCTTAAGATTATTCTTTGTTTTTGTTCCCCTTGTTGGGTTTAAAAGGAATTTATCACTCTGGACATTTCTCTTTTTATATATGTTTTTTCCGGGGGTCTGAACCAAATGGAAGAAGATGGGGTTTGAAATCGGGTGTCCTCTAAGACGATGGCATCTGCTTTTGGGATAGACAATATAAAAAAGATGGGGATATATGGTGGGGGTTGAGAAATAGTCCATTGATTGCCCCTAAATGACCACGGCTCACTTTTCCCATGTGGGACACGTCAAATCGTTGTCGTCGTTTTCCAACCAACGGTCAATGTAAAGGACCTTTTGATCAACCCATGTTTTAGATGGGGCTTTTGGAGTCGGAGCCCGTTTTTGAGGGAACCTTAAGGAGACCAAAGCCTTTGGTGTTCCAGATGCTGTTTTGAGACATTGCACAAAGCCGGCCTGTGCAGAGGGTTTCTTAAAGATTCCCCTTTAGCGTCACGAAAGGGAAACCATTTCGGCAGCATCGATCATTTAGTTGATCAGGGGCACCCCTCTTTTCCGCTGTTTTCTTGGTGCATTTTTCGGTAACATGGTCAACCCCAAAAAGGTGGCCCTGTCTCTAGCTGGCTCACCGGTTGAACCAAACCGCGAGAGGCATTCCAGATGATGCAGCAGCAGATGCTGATGCAGATGATGGGCGGGTGCGGCGGAAGCCACGCCCAGCAAGTGGAGGCGGAAGCGGAGGAAGACCCGCTGAACCCGGACAACGACCCCAACCGCCGCTCGCCTTTTTACGCATTGGGCGACGCCCAAAACAGGCGGCCCCTGTAGCCTAAAGAAGTTCAGTTTCCTCATTTACAATGCCATTCAACACGGTCAACATCAAAGCGGGCCCCACCAAATCAGCTGGATAATTTTCCTTGGTCCAACCCAAGGGGGGACTCAACATGAACCAAACATGGAAATCAGTGCAAATCCGGTCGATTCGCTTGTACAGCTGAGCTTGTATTGGCACACAAAACTTGGTACCCGTGGCAACCATTGGCATCATGGTGACTTCCCGAAACCAGGCACCTTTCAGGCGGCGCTCATTTGCAGGAGAAAGCCAAGGGCGTCCTTTGGGAATCCGAATTTCAGGGAACAAGACAAATTCTTGCACGTCCAAATTGAAAGTTGGTTGAAACTTTAGGGGGTCTTTCGGGGCCCAAAAAAACATTCAAAGTCGCCAGGATGATTTTCAGGACATTGCTCATTCAGGAACCGTGTCCAGCGCTGGCATATTTTCTGGTTCGTGGTTGATTCATGGATATTGGGTTTCCAATACGCTTCCGGGCACTGACAGCATGGCCCAAAAGGCGACCTTGCTCACAGTGCGGAGCATACCTTGGAACATGTGGGCCACAAAGTTGAGTCGGGCCAATCGGCTCACAAAGACTCGGTCCCTTAGGTACTGTTCGAGTCTCAAAGTTTCATTCTCAAGAGTTGGTTGGCCATGAACGTCCACCTCTATGTCGACATATCCACAGCTACCTGTGTAGTCAGACTCATCTCAGTGATACAGCTCTGCATGTAGCTCTGCATGTCAACAACATCATCTGCAAGCTGGCTGTAGTATTTGGAAGAGGTGGCGATGAGATTATACACATAAACGCAGCGAGCTCCAGCCTTCCTGAAAATGACCAAGTGTAACTCCGTGAGATATCAGCACACGCTGCACGCACACAGACGAGCATATCGCAGCATGGTCCGACATCTTGGCATAGCTTGATCTTATACAGGCACGAATGCTCACTGCGTATTACACTCCAACCAGCGCTTCCATCTCTCATACTTGCGCTGTGTGGACATGCGAAAGGTGACAGTCATAGCTTGTGTATCCTTTCCTTGCCGGACTCTCATAGCTCCCTTTTTGATTTCTTCGCTTTTTTTTCCTTCAGAAGTTGCATTTCCTTCCAACCGGGCTCTGGCAGCCCAGGCTGCGGCTCGATTTGGACATTCTCCAAATGGCGCCTCCTTTTCGAGGAATGCTCTCAAGGCAAAAGGACACCAAAGGGACCAATTGCCTCCAGTTGCAACCAGTTGCCTCCAGCTACCTTCTGAAATTGAATCGAAAAACCAACCACTGCTGGTCTCCCGAGGCTTTTCGGGAAGGATCAAGGTCTTCTATGAGGCCTCTGGTGGAGGCTACGGCTTTGTGGATTGCGAAGCGGCGCGCAGTTTGGCATCAGAGGGCCGGGGGGGGGGGGGATGGGGGGCGGGGCGTTTTTTTGTTTTTTTTTTTGGGGGGGGGGCAACGAGGAGGGCGAAATGAAGGTGACCTGGAAATGTACCGCCGGTGTGCGATCTATGACAGTTCCCGTGTGATTTCTTGCATGGGTTGAAGGAATTGCAGCAATTTGCCAGGTATGCTAGGTCCCCCAGTAGTACCCTTTTACCCTTCTTGGGGGGAGGGTTCCCCTACTAAAATAGGCTTCAGAAAAAGTTGGTGTCCTTATTCTGACCCATTGTTGAACATGGGCTTGTTCCCTTCCTGGAAGCGGTGGCTGGAGATTCCCACGTTCCCTGGGACTGGATACATGAACCCTAAGCCCGAAAAATTGGAGGATGCATTTGGGAAAGGGGTAGTTTTCAATGTTCCAGACGTTCCAGAGGGCCCAAAACGTGGAAATCCCAAAAAAAAAGAAAAAAGAAAAACGGCATTGAATTCATTATATTCATTAAGTTCATGAATTTCCGGCTGAGGATGGAGATATGGGCGGGACGTGTACCTCAACTCCAGACAGATCGGCGATGCCAAAGTGGGCGAGCTGATTAGCTTCACGATTGTGCGCAGCTCGCCGAAAGGGTTCGTGGCAAAAGTTGAGCGCCAGAACAGGAGCCGTGAACTTGATTGACATGAGGCTGGTTTCCTGGAAAAAAACGAGCACATGCGCGGCGCAAGAGCCCACGCACATCCACTGGTGGCTGTTGAGAGCTAACTTGCCTATCAAATCCTTCAGGAACTGCAAACGACCCAACCGACTAGGCTGTTGCCCTTTCTTTTGTTTGCTGCCCATTTTTCCTTTTTTTGGTTGGGGGTGACTGTCAGGATGGAAGCATCCTCTCACTTGGGAGCTGGCATGGGCGTGGAAGGATGCAGGCTGTGGCCCATGCCACGGAAGCTACAGGCCCTGAACTTTGATGTCTCTGTCAGAGGTGTTTGTCCTCGCGGCAAAAATCAAGCTACTTAACATGCTTAAACCCCCTTCCCCCAATACCACCCCCCCAAAAACTGGTTTGTGAACAAGGCGATTTAACCTAAAGCCTGCTTGGGGCCAACGGGGGCTGAATCCTATCGCGTGATGAGAAGCAGGTAAGTAACCTGTCGAGGACTCGCGCCCACAGCCAAAGGAGTAGCCGAGGTTTGACTAGCACGGCTCCACTTCCACTCATGGTTGAAAATAGCTTTGTTTCAAGTCCTGGCTGCTTGCTCCTGAGTACAATAACCCATGGTCATGTTGGGCTCCTTTGTTGACCGGTGCCCAAAAGTTGAATGTAAGAAACTAGATTCATGTATGGCATTCACACATTCGGCCTTTGATTCCAGAAGCATTGTGCGACCTGCGCACGGTGCAGCTTGCTTGCTTTAGTTTTGTCAATTGCCTCCAGGCGATTTCTGAGGGTTAAACTTCCACTTGGTGTGACTTTGATGATTGCAGAGTGGTGGTGCCAAAGCAAGCAGAGACTTCTTGATCCCGGGTATCCAGTTCAGGCACACCCTCAAAGTCTGCTCAAATTGGAATCAATCACCCAACAAGAAATGGTTCCAACCCGATGTCTAATGAACAGGTCATTGGTATCAGCTGCACACCCCTATCACGGTGCTTTGTTTAACCAAGTCAACACACTTCAGGGGTCCATTCAAACTGGTCGGTGTTTCCCGGACAATTTGCACTACCTCTTCCGAAAACTCCCTTTCGAGACAACCCCACTTCGTGAATAGCCACCCCTCTCTCAATTCTTTTCTGCCCAACTTCAAGTTTCAATGATTGCCCAGGATTTCTGCCCATGTCTTGTTCTAAAACCTTTTGGCGGCAAAGTTTCACCCCATGTCTCGGAGCTCCACGCCTTCGCAAATCCGCCTCCGCTTCTCGGCTTCCGAGCGCATCGCCTCCGCCTCTCGGCTTGCGAGGCAACGCGCGCGGGGAGCCGCAGGCGCGGAACGTGATGCGCGCAGAGGAGGCCATGGCGCTCAAGGCCGGGAATTTTGTCTCGGGTCAGAGGCCTTCCATTTGCTTAAGAGGTGTGTGTTGTTTATTGTTGTTTCCCGTTTTTCCCCCCCCCCTTGTTGATTTTAAGGGGAACCGATCACTACTGGATTGTTTCTTGTTTTTTAATAGGGGTCTGAACCAAATGGAAGAGGCTGTGACGCAGACGTGGCGCAGGCTGGTTCGAAACGCAGGGAATGAGAAATGGAATGACCCCCTCTGTGGTTTTCTTTACAGGGAATCCCCTTCCGGTTCATTCGCAACACCCGGGGCCATGGCTGCCAGCCATCCGGTTCTTTTGCTTTTACATGTTAGAGAACCTAGAGGTAGCCACAATGGCAACTGGATGCGCTGGGGTTGGGCTTTTTCCTGTCGCGCTTCCCTCAAAAGAATCCCACCCAAACATGGATTTCCAAAAGAGGCGCACCCAGATCAACGATTGAATCGATGAATTTGGAGAGTTGCCAAGGAGCTGTGGCTGGTTGTGGATTCCCAATATGATTGCTGGGCGGTAGCGACCAACCTGGCGAGGAGGGGAACAGATGCAGCCCCACTTCCATTTGATTAGATCATCGAACATGAATTGTTTGGTTGAAACAGGTCGGACTTTCCATTGGACCGACAAAAAGTTGCGGACGTTTTGTAGAGGAGTCATCAGCGACCAAGACTCTAGAGGTTGATTCCCCATTCATTTCAACCATCCTTCTTTTCGAAAACCGGATTTGTTTCCAACCTGGGTTTTTGGATGGTTCCCTGAAAAGAAGGACACTTGAATCCCAAAGATGGTCTGAATCATTTAATTTGTTTCTGGATCTCTTTTGATGGTTTCCTCTTACAGAATGGTTGGAAGGTACCCTGGGCTTGGAATGCTTGGAAGGTCCCAGATCCACCCCTGTGCTTTGGGTCACCCCACCAGTCATGGAGACTTCAGCTACCCCCAACACTTGAGCCGGATTCCCGAAACCGACGCATGGCGCGAGTTGCTTGCTTCAGAGGCCAAGATCCAGGCCCGGGAGCGCAGGGAGCAGGACGGAAGCAGTGCAACACCCCGTGGTTCCTTGCGCGTGTCTGTGTTTGTCTGTGTTTTGTTTTGTGTTTTTGCTTGTTTGTTTGTTTGTTTGTTTGTTTTGTTTGTTTGTTTGTTTGTTTGTCTGTGTTTTGTTTTGTGTTTTTGCTTGTTTGTTTGTTTGTTTGTTTGTTTGGTTTGTTTGTTTGTTTGTTTGTTTGTGTTTTGTTTTGTGTTTTTGCTTGTTTGTTTGTTTGTTTGTGTTTTGTTTTGTGTTTTTGCTTGTTTGTTTGTTTGTTTGTTTGTTTGTTTGTTTGTTTGTTTGTTTGGTTTGTTTGTTTGTTTGTTTGTTTGTTTGTTTGTTTGTTTGGTTGGTTTGTTTGTTTGTTTGTTTGTTTGTTTGTTTGTTTGTTTGGTTTGTTTGTTTGTTTGTGTGTTTGTTTTGTTTGTTTGTTTGTTTGTTTAGCTTTTTGTGTTCGTGTTGGCGTATTTCCCCCAATTGATGTAGTGTCGTTCACTTGGGGATGCAGCAGGGCACATGTTTTTCAGTACAAGTCCCTCCCACCAATTTTCATGGAACCTGACGTTCGGGTCTCCAGGACCCCCCCCCCCTCGTCAGGTTCCATGTGAAAAAGGTGGGAGGGTGTCATACTTCTCACTCCCCGAGCTCGTGGACTTTGAAATTTTTGGGAAGACCAGTTTGGTGGCAAGCAGCAAGTCTTTTGGACTTTTTTGTTGGCCAATCCGCTCGATCAGGGAGGGCTTGGTCCATTTGTCGGGGGCGAGCTCACCCGTCCAGCGTCTTGTTGCAACGGGCACCCCGGTTATCGCGAGTCGAGCGGATTCGAGGAGCAGAAGCGGCAGAAGTACCAGGCCCTCGAGCAGCTCGGCTTTTCATTTCAGTGGCAAGCGGATTTTTCTTGGGGTGTCTTTTTCTTTGAGGGTGCCCTTGTGGTTATGGTCTTTAAAGGGAAACCACGAGGATTGCGCCATTGCGCCATTTTTGGGGTACCTCAAGAAAAGACGGTCTTTTTGTTTGGTCAAACCCGGAGAGACTTCAGACTGGCCATGCCCAAACTGCAGTCCGGTTCCTTTGGAAGAGCCGTTTCCCGTGTTCCCCCCTGGGCCTCATGATTTTCCGGCGGATCTAAACGGGGAATGTGTTTCCCGGGCTTCACCGGTTGGCATGACATGGTAGCCCCGATGAATCCTCTAAATGGTCTTCCATTTCCTGGGTCTTGAGCTGGCAATCAGAAACCAGACCCTTCCCCCAACCAAAATGTTCCCTTCTGGAGAAAAATGATCCAGGGATCCGGGACCAGTCTGCTTGATTGGTACTAGCTGTGGCTCAAAAAAGTGGAACCAAAATGGCAGCTTGGCAAACGGAGCCAAAGCCTAAAACCCGCGGTCCCCTGTTTCTTTTTAATTCTGACCCATACCCATTTCCTCAGAAACAACTCACCCAACCAAAAGGGAACACGGGCATCACGAACAACTCCCAACAGGATCCCAACAGTAACCCCAGCTGTTTAATTTTGAGGCACACCCACAGGGTTTGGTTTAGTCACGCGTCAGGGCACTCTTGCAAGGCGCCCTTTCGGCGGCACGGGAGGTTTTGAACGCAACGGGGCTAGGGGCCCTTGCTTAGTTGCACACCTTCCACATGTTCCCTCCCAACCACCAGCCAAATTAGGGGAAACACCATATTCATTCTACATATGATGGTTGCAAGTTGTAGCATGAGTAGTTGAAAACAAGCTTTTCCACGTTTATGGCAGTTGCAGTCTTCTCTTTGCGCTTCCCCTGCCTGGGCCCAATTTTAGTACGACATCCTCGAATTCGTCCTTTGAATCGCGGTTGAAGGGAAACTCCGCTCCAAAGGACTTGTGGGTGCTCAGCAGGGAATGGGCCAATGACCCTTATGAACCCTCCAACTGGTGGTTTCCCCGGGACCAATTCCTGGGTTCATTCAACCACAGTCCCTACTTATGGCACCAGCAGGAGTCTGGACCCTCATTGACCTGGGAGTCTCAGCTTATCGGCTGGGCTTAAAGCGCTGGGCCCGAGGAAAGTGGTGGTTCCCGCCAAGAAGGCGGTGATGACGGAAGAGGAGGCGAAGCGTTTCCAGGCGCGCGGAAGCCACGCGTTTGCGATTTACCGCGTTGGGCGGGCAGTGTCACCATGGGAGGTTTACCCAAATAAGAGAGACATATTCTTCGATCGCTGGTGTGGTTCACTTGAATATGCCTAGTGGAAGTAATTAGTTTTGCTTGAATATGCTTGAATATGCTGATATGGTTTGCTTGAATATGTCTAGTGGAAGATTCCCGTGGAATGCTGGACAGCGGTGGAATCTTGAGGGACTCTTTGGTCAGGCCATTGGAACCCCGCCTCAAATTCCACAAAGCACTCTGGCTCCGTCCCCTATGGATCAGCGAGCTCCGTTTTGGGGAACGAGTCGTCATGTCTTTATGGATTTGTTTCGGGAAAGGCGTCCAGGAAAGGTCAACCGCGAAAAACACAAGTCAAAGCTCAGGGTCTCGCAGCTGGATGTTGAATTGCCAACCGACTTTGCAGAGAGTCCTCTTTCTGTTGCCCCGCTGGAGCATCACTCTTTGTCTCACTTTCTGAGTTCCTGGACGTTGTACTTCGTGCAAAGACCATGTTAGTGGCTTAGTGGTACACGAAAAGTTTGGACTTTTGTGGGCCAATCCACTCGTTCGGAAGTGAGTTGTTAGGTTCTCAAGCTCGGAAACACCGCTTCCAGTGAACGCGCCGGTTGCTGGGATCAATGTTCATTTGCAGGAGTGTGGTTCACCCAGAAACAACACGTGGAGCCCCCGAAGCCATCGGTTTCAGGACTCGTCTTTTGAAAGCTTTGTTTGGCTTCCATGCAAATCTGCAAGTAAGGGATCTCCTTAGGCACCTACAAGTCCAGCGACCAGACTACTCCTTTTTTGTGTTTGTTTTATCTGGCTGCATGTGAGATCATTGTAGCAACTGACCATCGCGCCTTTTGCATTCATGGAAGTGGATAAGAGGTGCCCATCTTTTCGAGCGCGGGCCGAGCTGGATTAAAAAAACATCGGCGAAGTCACCATGATACGAAGGTCCTCGCTTTAGAGTGATCTATGCATGGGCTCAGTGGATTTGACCTGAGGAGTCCCTGCGGAAGAACCGGATCTGAAGGGCTGAGAGACGCTGGAAGGGTTCCGCTGGAAGGGTTCCGCTGGAAGGGTTGCGCGGCATACAAGATGCGACCAAAATCTGTATTGGCCAACTTTTGGTTCATGGCAACATGGCTAGTTGGTGGTATGTTTGGACTTTAACGTTCTTGTTGACACAGGTTGGATTGCCCATTGGACCCCAAGTCAAACTGTTCGCAAACGGGTCAACAGCACAGCACGCGGTGGAAGTTATAAACCTACCATCTTGATAGAACCAACAGTCAAAGGGTTTCGGGCGCTGCTCGCATCCACAGGCTCCTCATGGCATACTGTATCGATGTAGGGCCCCGTACCGTTCCATGTGAGCGTGGTGCGTTTGGGTGGTGTTTTTGGGGCACACTTTACACGGGAGCCCTTAAAGGGTATGTAGGCAAGCCAGCGTTTGCTGGAGATGTCTTTTTCGGATTTGTTCCTATGTCCAAATATCCAACTTCTGGGTTTTACAGCATCACCTTTGTGCGAACACAGCCACATTTCAAAGCTTGGGGACATGTCAGTGTTTGTTTACGTTGTGCATAGAAGCTATGTGTAAATACACCTGGCATCCGAGTCCCGCGAAATCCGAAAATGGTCCAGCCCGATCCAGCCCGGCGTATCCCTGGGTTGCCAACCTCTTCGAGGGCCGGCATGGCAAGCCGATTCGACTGCGGAGACCAAAAAGTGGCGATTGCGAATTGGAAGCGACCCCCCAAATCCCGTCGGTTTTGAGTGGAGCCAGGAGGCGATGGTATGGAGTAACGGCATGTTGCTCGGACAGTATAAGACCTGGACCATCAAATTGGCATACTCATGTGACTCCACGTGTGGGCTCCCCCACTCACGCCGCATGGATGTCCCATGTTGGGAAAGGCATGAAGAATCCCATCGTTTCCGTTAGCCGCAGTGGACGCGATTTCTTGTTCGGGTAAGCAACGAAGGCATGGTTCGGTGGAGAGGCACTGTAAAAGTATTAGATGGGCTGCTTTGGTAGGCTCCCGCAATCTGATAGGGATGAGCTCATGAAAGATGCACGGCCGAGCAGAGCCGGCCTTTTTCGAGATCGCCGGCATTTCCTGCCTTTTCTTCGGAGGTTATTACACCCAATTCATCCCAAAAGCCACCAGGAGGTACTAAGAGACCGGGCAAAAGGAAGTGTTTCAAAATGTTTCAAACAGTGCTACAAATAAATGAGAAAGGGTTGGCACGCTCCTGCCCTGCCTGTTTTTGGTGGCCTCGGAAAAGATGGTCAACCCCAAATTGGGTTCCGATTCTTTCTACCAGGGCTCGCGACGCCTCAGGATCGGATTTTTCCTATCGAACATCCACATCAACCCGCGCTGCATTTGGCTGACACGCCACGCCGAGAGCGAAGATCAACTCTCGGGCCGCCTGGATAGGATCCAAGCTCCCTGGGCCGTCCCTTTTCGCGGCAAAAAAAAAAATCCCCCCAGGGCCTTCCTCAAAATGAGGGTACTCCCTTCATGGCTGGATGAGCTTTTGGCTTCCCATCCCCTTTTCTGAGGGATTCCTTTGGGCGACTTGCGGTGGATGGAGACTTTGTCCGATTCGCGCCAGTTGCTAGGCAGTTTGTCCCAGCATTCATCTACCTGGAGTCTCCATGACCCTTCAAAACATGGGGTCAATACCCAAAACTAAGGGGTCATGGACCCATTTTTGAGGGCCATGGAGACTCTAGGTACATTCATTTGGCTTTGTTCATTCCAATGCCGGATTTTGCCCATCCACAGTATTGACCCCCATTCTGGTACTTTGGCCAAGCGGCCGCCAGCCGGTTTTTTGATGTGGATGAGGAGTCCTGGTTGGAACACCATGTAGTGCCACCTGCCGCTTTTTTCAAGGGAATCAATCCCCTTTCAAGTAAACACCGAAGATGGCACTTTCCGCAATACCGCTGGTGCTCTGCTGCCTTCCGATTCGAACGTGTCTTTGGTGTTGCAGCAACTTGCGTTGCTGACAGTGGGACGTCTAGGCAGACACCCACCCAACGGAACCGAAGCATGGGTTCTCCGGCGCTCCCTTTGATTCAACAGATGGGTTCTCTTTTGGGTGGAGGGCTGGCCAATCAACCACTGCAATGGCTCACCGTAGCCCCGGGATTCGAAGAAGCGGCCCCGTGAATCCTCTGGGTCGGATTTTAGTGGATGCTCGAGCGAAATCGGGATTGGGAGCCTGCTTTGACCAGCGAGTATCCTTTGATGCCGTTTTAGTTCAACATGCAAAATGGAGAGACCCTTTCGAGGGAGCCCTTGAGTTGCGTACGGTTGGCTAAGCATTCAATGGATTCTGACAAGTTTAAGCCAAGAATTGAACCAAGACACAAAACATGGGCAAGTGGCACTCCCTTGGGAAGCACGGTCGAGCGCAAGCGGCCGGAGGCATTTTGGGCAGCCACCGGGGAGAGCTCACGCTGAACGGCAAGAACTACTGCCGCGACTCGAATTTTTGTCGACTTCGGGACTGGCTGGTTGCCAAGAAACGACTTGTTCGACACCAGTTAGCGGGCTTTTGGTGAACAACAAGTCTGGACCAAAGAAACAAGCAAGGTTGTCGCATTGTTGCTTCGTAGTTTCTCGTTAAATAGAAATAACAAAGCTGGAGCTTGTCAAGGCCCAAAACTGCGGGGGCAATGGGCGCGATTTCGATGTCATTGCCTGAATATGCCTGAACTCGGCTTTTGCTCCATGGTGCGCTCAAAGCTTGATAGCCCCTGGGTGACTGCATGTTGTCTCAATTGCGCACAGCCAATTTTTGAGATTCAACAGTGCCCAGTAGCGCCCCAAAAATTGCCTTGGCACAGACCCCGTTTACGATCCCCCTTGCGGTAAACAACAAGTCTGGACCAAAGGAACCCCCGCTGATTAGTACTGGCATGTACTGGCCTTTGGATGAATCAGAAGGTAACATTACGATGTGTGAGTCACAATCAAAACCAGGAATAGATTCCGCCGCCCTTTAGATTCTGTGCACGGAGTTTGGTAAACAAGTTTAGTACAGCCTGTTTTGAGGTACTACTGTACCCTTTTCAAGGTTGGCTTCAAAGGGAGCATCACCATTTTGGTGGTCCTATCTGAACATCCCCACCCCTTTAAAATGGAAGTGGGGGAGGGGGGTTGACGCCTGGAATTCCATTTAGGGTTCCATTTTCCCTTTTGTGGTTGGAAGACTGAATGAATGGAATTGTGGGACCCCCCACCCTCCCCCTTAAGGTAGGGGGGATATCTGAACACATGCCCTACATGGGTGTGGGTCAAAGTTAAACCACTGGGGGACCGCAGGTTTTAGTCCATGTTTCCATTTACAGGTATATACCTATTTTTGACCCACAGCCACATCACCATTTTGGTGGTCTTATCTGAACATTCCCACCCCCTTCAAAATGGAATTGGGGGAGGGGGGTGACCCCTGGAATTCCATTTAGGGTTCAATTTTCCCTTTTGTGGTTGGAAGACTGAATCAATGGAATTGTGGGACCCCCCACCCCCCTCCCCCTTAAGGTAGGGGGGATATCTGAACACATGCCCTCAGGTGAGTTGTCCACGTTTCTGCACAAGTGCAGACGTGAGATGGAGGAGGAGACGGTGCCCACGAGAGACAGCCCAGCCTTCGGGGACTCCTGACATTGCCACCCCAAAACGTGCGGCGTCCTTTTCATCACGCTTGAAATCGCAACATCAAGGCTTCGTTTGTTGGACCATTCTAGAGGGAAGCCGGAAGGACTCTCCTATGAGAGGTCGCGGAACAGAAAAGCCAACAAAAGGCGGAGTGATCACAGTTTGAGAGCTTCACCTGCGTCACCTGCCTAGTACAGGCCACTTGAAAGGCCACTTGATGGTTTGTACTGCCGTGTTGGCGCGTGAGACGTGTGCGCCAGAACGGGCAAGCCGAAAGCTGCAGCGACTTCTTGGTCCTCATGGGCACCGCGCCGGTGCACTACTCCACGCTGCCCCTTGGCCGAAGGGCCGATGTCTGTCGATGCGAATGGGGGGGGAATTTTCGGAAGCCGAAGGTGGCTGTGTTGCATTTTGCTTGGATGTTGGGACTTTAACTTTTTGCCAACTTAAACCACTAAAAGTTAATCTTTTAGCAGGGGAGCAGAAAGCAACCGAGGTGGGGTATGCGTGGAAAAAGGCCGACCCCCCCAAGCCCCCAAGTCGCGAGTGGTCCTTTTGTGCTCCAGTTCAACCAGCCCCGAGAAAACGGGTAGCGAGCTGCAACTTTGGTGAACATTTCATTCGCATATCAAGTCGACGAATATTTGGTGGGTTCATGCAGGGTGGTACATACATATGTGGCAAGTTTGATATGCTTGGGTTGGCACAATTTGTTTGAACCAAAAGTTGGCTGCAACATGCTGCAACATACGGTTCGTTGCCCTTTGGTTCCCCCTCAGGTTGCGAAGTGTTCCCCCACGCCATCATAACATGGGTGATGAATGCAGGGGTTGATGTCAGGGATTATGCATTGGCATGGGCTTGCATGCTGAAAAAGAGGCCTGTGGGCTTCTTTTTTGCTTTCCCACCAAATGACCCATATTCTTCAGAGTCTGGAATGAAGCCACCAGGGTCTTGGCAATCGTTGAAACTGCCGGCCTCCAAACCTGAAGGGGTTTTGCGATTTTTCTGCTCACCAAATCGCCCCTGAATTCTGAAACCTCAGCTGGAAGCAACAGGCTTTGTCACAAGAATCAGGCGAAAAAGGGAATCCGATGGATTTGTTTTTGCTCGCGAAAAAGCTTGGGCTCCCAAAGATGAGCAGGCCCACCCTGGGCCCCGTGCAATGGCTTTGTCTCTTGTGAGGGTTCTGATTGAAACCAAGCAGAACCCTCAAATTTGGGGGCGCCACGGGTTCGCCAATGGGGCAAAGAAGGAACCATTTACGGGCGTCCTGGGAAAGATACACCTTGGGGTTCCTGTTTTCTGAAATTTGGTGCTCTTCCCCCCTAAAAGATCGACTTCCGATGAAAGGGGGACCAGCCCTGACTAGCACGGTTTTCTCGATTCCGAGTTTGCCATTGAGTTGGCAGGCATTAAAACTGTTGTTTGCGGGTATCTTCATCAAGTGTGTCAAGGCCAAACAAGTGTAAGCTTGCCCTGGCCAGACAACTCTGAACTTTCCTCGGCGTGTTTGTGCTTTTGTTGTTTGGTCCGTGTCTTCACTCTGAGAACCCGCAAATGAAGAAAGCGCAGTAGGCTTCGAAGTTTTACAGGCATGTAGCTTGTGGATGAGACTGGGGGACCCACAATTCTGACAAAACAAAACTATCCGTTACGGGGCTCACGTTTCATCATGGGCTTTCGCAAGAGGAAGTTGCCACCGTGCATTGCAACTGCTCTGCGGGCAATCGAGCGAGGATCTTTGGGTTCAGTTCGCGTTTTTCAGCCCAAAGAATTCCCCTTTTCGGCAATTACCCCAACCCCCCCTCCCGGAGGAGCAAGGGTTAGGGATGGAAGCCTCCTGCCCCTGAGATTCGGGCAAAGTGAGCCTAGAAGCATGGCTCAATCTCGGGCAACTGTTTGGGCCACTGCTACTGCGCCCAAGCATGCTTACGCTATCTTACTCAGGGGTAGTACATGTTCATTGATGGGTCAAAGATGTCAACAAAAAACGGAGCCCCCAAACAGGGTTTGATTGAAGGGAGCCCCTGCTTTGAGGCAGGCAATGATGAAAAGTTCGAGCCCAAGCTTGAGCGAGAACGGCGAGGCTTCTCCCATAGCGTCAGGACATTGCGCAACTGGGATGGGCGGGCAATGCAGCCTTGGTTCCCGTTTCGTCTCGAGACGTAGACTACAGAAAAAGGGATACCCTTAGTCTAACCTCTCTACTGGAGGACCTAGACACGAAAATGGGGGGTCCAACCACTGGAAGATTTATTTTATGGAATATTTCGACCAGAGAACATGGCTCATAGTTGGTACTTGTTACATTGCATGATTTAGTATCACAATGTAAATTGGAGTCGGAACATATTTCGAAGACAGTTGAATCCTACATAAATAACTATTATTTAACACATATAATTATAACTATGTATCAACAGTTATCAACAAAGATAACCCTAGTTCACACAAATAAATTGCAACATGGGTTAAAGTGTGTTGCTAGAAATCAGCACACGTTCATACTTCAAACAGTCTTGTTTTGCATTGCGAATATATACTATTTTCATATTGTAATATACGGTTTTGTTCAAATGTTTAATCAATAGAGGTCGTTGGCACATTCTGTTCTTGGACGCAAAGACATATATGAGTTGCTCGTGTGGGGGGGCCATCACTTTCCTCGTGTACCACATGGCTCGAGCATGCTCGAGCTACAACAAATAAAGCCCTCCTCCCCCCGCCTACAACTAGGTCCCTCAGTTGTGCCCTTTCACCCGTTTTTAGGGGAAGAGTTCCCCTACTAAAATAGACTACAGGAAAAAAAATCGGGTACCAACTTCTTCTAACCTCTCTACTGGAGGACCTAGACAATGTCCATGGGAGGGTCCCATGGCTGAGATCGATCCCAGGAGCTTCCTCCCCTCCAGCGATGGACTGCAAAGGCTTCCAGGCCTCTCGCCCTTATTTATGGCACCTGAGCCGGTGTTGGCCACCTGAATTCCAGGTGCTGAAATGATGTTTTCTGATATTTTCCCCTCTTGGTCTTAGAGGGCACCTATCACTACCGGACATATGTGTTGGTTTTAAAGGAAATGTGTTACTATTGTCTCATTTTCTCCAGGGGCGACAGCGCAAATGGAGTCCTGATATCCTCCTCACAATGTACCAGGTTGATTATGCGGGGTTAACAACATTGACAGCTGTGGTCATCGACCCTTTGATCACAAGCCCAGACCAGGTTCTTGCAGGACCCCTTCTAAGGCGGTTGCGCGGCATTTGGTTTCCTCCATAAACAAGGCCCAGTGCCAAGAAGTGAGCCTTCAAGCTGGGTTTCATTTCGAATCCAACCTTTCGATATACGCGGGTGTGTCTCACGATAGGACCCCAATATTTCACAATCTTGTAGCGTTCCCTTGAGTTTCCCCTGCAAGCCACCCCCTCCTCCCTCCCTTTTCCCTCCCCCTCCCCTCCCTCCTCTCCCTCCCATCCCTCTCCCCTCCCCCTTCCCCCCCTGCCAGCCACCCCAACAAGGTGCCTTCAAAAGAAGATTGCTGACGGCTTTGAACCGAGAAGCCCTTTGCTCTCGGGCCCGATTTTTTTTAAACACCAGTGTCCGGTGTTGAAGCAAGCCCGTTAAACCAACACGGGCCGTCATCTTTCTGGGAGGGCGCCGGCGCCCTCTTTTTGGTCACGGTTTTTTGACCGGAAACCCAAAGGAATCCACCCAAAATCGGGGGGGAGTTTTCTTGGTGGAGACAAGCCCACAGAGGTAATCCCAGGGTGCAATACAAAAACCCTCAGATCCAGCCACATTTTGAGAAAGAGGCTATGAGCACGTCTTTGCTCAACGAGCTGGATGGCGGGGTGTGCAACGGCCTGAGCTACTCCGAGCACCTCTGAGACAATACGGCCGGCTTTCGGAGGCCCAAGCCTCTGTGGATCCCAAAGGATAGGACATCTCCATACTCAGTTCTTGGATAAGTTTTTCACTACCATACCAAGAGTAGAGATGAACTTTTTGCAACTGGGCCTTTTCATTCATGGAAAGTAAATGGGCCTCTAGTGGCCTTTGTTCCAGTGTCTTTGCGTTGGTTCTAAACGTTTGGCTTAGGACCAGGGCTGCGTATTTGAAAGGAAGATTCCCCTGGCAGGGCTCGCGGAGGTTTGGCCGGACTTCCCTTTTGCCAAAACATCTCCCCCACAAATTCCATGGTTCAAACGCCAACAAAAATGGGGTCCCCCAAAGTCGGATCCCCAAAAACATGAGTTGTTTTTTCCCAAATGCGCTACTCCTCAAGTTGCAAGTCTTGAAACACTGCAACGCTCGGCTTTCTGGGCAGGGCTCTGATTGCTATGTGATTCCATGGCTCCGCTCGCCCGCCAACACCATTATAGACTTCACTGTTCTTGGCAAATTGTGTGTGTGTGTGGGTGTTTTTTTTTTGGGGGGGGTTCTTTTCACTTACTGGGGGACTACAAAAAACAAAGCACTTTGCATGCCCATGCCAAGAGTTGTAGACCAGGCAACCCCTTGACCACCCCTAAGGCCCTAACCACCAAAACCAATAAACCACCGATCCTAACCACCAAGAACAGTAATACAAGAGTTAAGTTATCTACCATAAACCGTAATTAATATAGACAGGACAGCATAACATATAAAGATCTTGCAATCAGGCTTAAATATAGCAACATTGAGGAGCCCAGTGATTTGGCGGCCGAATGCCAATGAGCCCCATAAAAAAAAGGCGCCTGAGCCGTGAGAAATGAAGTCAACGGCTCAGGATCATCCGAGACTACCCAGACCTGTGGGCTGCCCGGGAGCGGGACAAGCTCAACTTCAGGTATCCCAACGGGGAGTCTTACAAGGCGGGGCTGGGACCACAAGGATTTTCTGGCCAAACGGACAGGGGGGAAGGGGTTCCTGGTGGTCCCCAAGTAATGCACTTGCACGGAGTTGCCCAAAATCTTTCGGGGAAATCCTGGCTCTTTTGGTTTTGGCTTCGTGTGGTTTGACAGGATCCGTTGCTTGGGGGTTCCTGCTCTGCTTTGGGAGTTGAAGATGGGAAAAAGGCAAGCTCTTGTGTTTCATGCTTAGCTGTTTTCCTGTGAATGCTTCCCTGGGATTTCAAAACGAAGAAACTTGGCTCTGTGTCCGCCGGGGCTCTTCGTGTAGGCTGATGATGTGCGTGGCCACCATTGTTATTTGTGTTAAGCCATGATGATCGGTTGATGAACCCATAAACCATGGGTTCACACCAGGGGTTCATACATCACATGGTTCATACCGTGGGTTTCATGAAGGATTGCACGGGCTTGCACCAAGGGTTTCAGTTGTTGTTGTCTAGGGTTCAACATTTGCTTGAAGAAACAGATCCCAATCTCCGTTCAAGGGAAACCAATTGATCTTATTTCAACAATGGGTCTAGTCTCAGAGCCAAGGCAGCCCAAACCACTTATGTGACTAATCAACGAGGCGGTCATAGGTCATAGGTGCAACTTGTGAGCCAAACAACATATGGCTCGTCTTTTTCAAGGTTGGACCCCCCCCCAAATCGCTTGTTTTCCTGCTGGTTTTTCCTTCAAAACCACTAAACAAGTGGTACCTCAAAGAAAGACAGAGCCCTATGTTAAAGTTATATGGCTGTGGGTCAAAACCGATGGTACCATTTTGGGTAGGTGAATTCACCACCAATTGTAGAACCTATTTTTGTGGGGATTGGTTGATGTTCATTGGGGGTACGATTTGGCTCTTGACCCATGGCCAAAAGTCATACAAAGCCACTAAACAAGTGGTACCTCAAAAAGAGACAGGCCCCTATCTTAAAGTTAAAGTTATATCTTATATTCCGTCAACCTTATTGACTAGGCCGCCATCAGTGCCCTTTTACCCTTTTTCGGGGGAGGGTTCCCCTACTAAAATAGACTACAGAAAAAAAGGTACAAGTTGACCAAAGTACCTCTCTACTGGAGGACCCAACCAAAGTCATTCAAAAGCGGTCAGGACGTGATCGGCCGGCTGCGGCCCATCATCATCGAGCTTGAGCGCCAACGGCGCTCAATCTTGGCACCTGGGCCGTTTTTGTTTTTCGGTGTTTATTTTTGTTTTCGTTGGCACCTGGGCAAAAAAAGATGTTTTTTTGTTGGTGCTAGTCTTTCTGGGCACCTGGGCAAAATCATTCGTTCGCGCGAGACCTTGTTTGCCAGGCAAGCTTGCTAGAATGAGTGCCACATTTTGATCGTTTGGAATCTCGGTGGGCCGATGTCCAAGTTGCCATGGGAAGCCACCAGTTTCGCAGTTAGGTCCAAACGGCTCCGCACAGGGGGTCTGTTTCGAAAACACTCCCAAAAACAACCTGCCGAACGGACAAATGCTTGGAGGTTGGTGAGTTTTGTTGGCTGGAGGTGATATCACACCTCGCCGTGCAACGCTGCCTCTACGCCTATTTCACTGGCGCGCCCATGGAGGATTCGCGTAACAACGAGGGTTGGGAAACCTAGTGAAATGCGTAAGCACGGGCACGCAATTTGAGCCTCGTGTGCAAGCTATTGAGAGGTTCCGGAGCGGCAGCTTGTACAGGTTCTCAGCATAAGCATGCCCCAAGCTAACTTCGGATTGATCAGGACCGCCACGCTCTGCGGAATAACCATGACGAATTCCGCACGTAAAGGGAAGCCACCTCTGATTGCCACGGTCCTTCGGAGAATTCAGAAGCTGACATGATTGCCAGCAGTTGGGGTGATGTCAAGTTGCTTGTGGGTTTGTCCCGGACCGGCAAAACTGGCGAAACAAATCAGCGCTCCCCCCGCGAAGCTTGAACATGTGTTCACGCTTGGCAGGGTTTGACCCTCCCATACATGGTGGTTCTTTGATATTTTTCGTTATGGCAGGAGTCCCTGCATTGCCCTGTCGAGCGATTAACACTTCCTTGCAGCTGAGCCATCTGAAAAGGACCTTTCTTGCAGTGTGAGGTCAGAGAGGGATGTTTTCAAGTTAGGATCCCTGTGTCCCCTAACATGGCTTTTGACAGGGGTTGTCGTCTTCATGAGTAATCTTGGATTTTGTGCAGGATGTGCGTTCTGGGCTTCCTTATGTGGTTTGGATTGGATTTGAACCCCCTTTTGTAGCTCCTTTGTTTGCAAATTCAAGGCCTGCGCGGATTGAAACCAGGGGCTCCTTAGATTTTTTTGTTCAACTAGTTGGAACACTTTTTGGTTGCAGCTTCACGAGGGAGCCTTGGGGTTGGAATGTGGATGCAAGTGGGAAGCACCTTGAGCCGCGCCCTTCGCGTGGTGGCTCATGACGCTGAAAAGCCTTGCCTGAAGTGTGTGTGTGTGTGTGCGTGTGTCGACTCTTGTTTCAGCAAAGAGCAGGGAAAGCGCGGCAAGAAAATCAACGACGCTCCCAATTGACCTTGTGATGTTCCCACCTTTTTCCGGGATAGCTTGTTTGAGTGGCAAACGACGTTACTTAGGCCAATATTCACCAAGTGAAGCCAGCTTCCCCTTTGGAATATGGGTATGGGTCAAAATAAACCCGCTAGGATATGGACCGCAGGTTTCAGGTTCCATTTATCAGGGTTCCATTTTGGGTACGGATTTTTGACCCACAGCCATATGTTGAACGTGTTTGAGTTTCGATCTGCACTAGTCATGACAATGAAAGAAAAATGTATTTTGGCCTGGGGGGGGGGGCAAAATCTGAGGCAAAGACGCTGGGCTGACCATACCTGCAAAGCCAGCCGAGGTAGTGCAAACAGGGGTTCAACCTTTTTGACATTCCAATTTGGGTGTGTTGTTTTGAGGGTGCCCGTTTTGGGAAATCTTAAAAGGAACACCGCCTTGCAGGGTTCAGGGTTGCCTCCATCTTGTGGTTTCAATGGACCATTAAATTCAGCAACTTTTGATTCGCCCCTGGGGGAACCCCTCCAGTGACCCCTGGCTTCCCCTCCGGTTTTCGGATATTGAGGGTCAGATCCGACCCCTCCTTCCTCCTCTCGCTCATGGCGCTTGCGATCCCGCATCGCAGCGTGGAGGCAGGGCTATTAGCCATGCGGGCGCCTCGGCAAGAAAAGGCTTCGACGACTTTCTCCAGTATATAACAGGGGTTGATTCCCCATTCTTTTCAGCCATCGCTCTTTTCAAAAACCAGCTATGCGCTTTTGGTGGTTTTCTTGAAAGGAAGGATCCCTGGGCTTAGAATGGGGAAGTTACCCCTATAATAAAGTGAGAAGCTCTTTGCGCCATCTCTAGGCCGGAGCTGCAACAAGTCACTCACTTGCCCAAAGGACGAAATGAAAGGTGATCACCTTTTGGCCCCTTTACTAAAAACTGGACCAACATAGAAATTCCAAACGGTTTTGTGAAACTGAGTCAAACTAAACCCTGTTTCGTCATGGCCGCTAGGCAGTTGAACTACCCTCCAACCTGGGGCCTCCAAAACAATTTTTCATTTTTTGGGGTAGGCCAAGTATGTAACACGATTTAGACATTGTTTTGTTCAAGCAATAACAATCACAGCCGATCCGAGGGTTAGGACGAAAGCTTTCCTTTTGGGGAAGCCCAGTATCGATCGTTCACTTCCATGCAACCCTTAAAGGACCTTCAGCCTTGGCGCCTTTGGGGTTGGCGTTGCAAGCAGGTCGGGGTGGTAACACGAAGCCAAAGTTCAGCAACAAGAACCATCGGAGACCGTTTATGTACGTAAATGATGCCTACAAATGAATGGGATAATTGTAGCTGTTTAAACTCAAATATTGACGTAGGCCAATGGGTCCACACAATTGTCAGTGACGGACGCCCTTTTTTCGGAAGACCTGAAGATGGTCAACGCACAAATCGGGGAGGCGTTTTTCATTCTGCTGGGGGCCTCACATCGCCAAGGTTTTCATCCACTGGAGCAGGGTCCAGGCCCAACCCCGTTTTTGCTTGAAGGCCGGGACTCACCTAAACATGGCCAGCCGACCTTTTGACCAAATCCATTTTTTGCTATGGCCTCAAAGGTTAACCGTTTATTTCTAGGTCCTTTGGGCAACTGAGCCAAGTGTTCCATTTCTCCTTTCAGACACTCGTTACAGCAGGGCCTAGAGATGACAAAACCCAAAGCCTGCTTTGGGATAGAAACAAAACGAGGGGAGCCTGTTTCCAGGACGGTCAATCAAGACCAGAAGGGTTTCCTTTCTCTGCCAGAAGTCTGACAATACCCGACCAACACCTCACTCCCTGAGTTCCTGCATTCCATAATTACTCTTTGGGAAGGCCACTTTGGGGGTGAACAAACAGAGTTTGTTCTTTTTGTGGCGCCAATCCACGGGCGTGAAACACAGCAGATGCGTTGTTCGATGCGCGCGCGTGTAGCGAGCCGAGGATCACTTCCTGGAATGCCTACAAGATGTTGCCATGCTGGGGCGCAAGGTCGTCAACCTGTGGCTCGGATCGGATCAAAGTGGGAGGGGTTGGGATGTGTTTCGGTTTCAGAGGAACATCGAAAGGAGCTTGCCCATTGTAGGATTGCAGCTGGCTAAATCTGTCTATATCACCTATGCTCGTAGGATTCTACGCCCCGCCCCCCCCTTCTCCGTTGTTTTTGGCCCAAAGCCCCGCGGCCGCATTCAGGCCTGGGTGGAGCCTCTGAATCAAGCGCGCGACGTGTCATCGTGTCATCAAGGCCCCCAAGGCGTTTTGGCCACGCAAGGCTCCAAGAGCGCCCGGGGGTGTTAAGCGAAACCCTGAGGAGAACCTCTACTCTGGAGACCCCTTAAAACAAGACACCCATTTGGAGACCAATCGCCGGGAAGTGAGTTTCGGGCGCCAACAACGTTTGACGGGGTGGTGGGGTCTGAGCCATATTTGATGTTGAGAAAACCGCAGGGGTGTACGCGATGGAGGCCTGTTTGGTTGGGAGATTCCGTGCTAGTTGAAAACCACCAGTCAACCAAACAATTGGAAATGCACCACTAAACGGTCCGAACCCACATTTAACCCCCAGTGGTCATCCTGAAACCTCTCAAGTTTAACCACTAAATGAGAGTGTGCTTATAATGTTGGCTTTCCCTTTGTAGCTGCCGCTTGATGATTCCCCACTGTTGAAGGGAGACTCCGTCGTTCGGAAGGCCTGAAAGAAAGTGGAAATGCCATTCCAGCCTGGTTGAACACTGCCTACACGTTTGATTTCTCGTTTGTCTATGGGTGAAAGTCCATAGATTTGGATCCAGCGGCGTGGGATGGTGAACCCTTGCAACGAGGGTTCCTTAGGTTCTGATGAGGGTCGTGTTCGGGAAAAGGATTTGCACAGCTCGGGCCAAACCATGTACCCCGTAGGTACCATTTGAGGGAATGATTCATTCCTACCCCGGAACGATTCCCTCCTGACCAGCAAGCTGTTTGATTCCAACACCCGGAACTGTGCTGCATGCTTGCGCGTCAAAGCATGTTGGGCAACCCCCCCGCCTCACAAACTCCCAAACTCCAACCTCCGATCCTGTTTGTGGCGCGGGACCCCGTACCGTGGCATATTGAAAAACAAATTCCAGCATGGACCCCCTTTTTGCAGCTAGGAGTCTGTAAATATCGGGTATTTCTCAAACAAGTGGTCTGATCGAATCTTTTCAGGTTGCGAAGCCGTAGATCCTCCCCATCCCCTTGAGCATTAAGAATCAGGAAGTGGTCCCCAAGTGGTCCTCGGTGCATCCCCTCAACATGGTTGTTGAGAAACATTTTACATTCTTGCTTGTTGTGATTTAGTGGTTGAAATCCACCCACTTAACTGCTAAACTTGGCTGTGGGTCAAAACCAATGGTACCATTTTGGGGTAGGCAAATTCACCACCCATTTTAGAACCTATTTTAGTGGTTGAATTGAATCGGATGTTCACTGGGGGATAACCGGGCTTTTGGCTTTTGACCCATGGCCAAGTTAGTTTGTTTGAAATCCAAATCCGCTTAACTGCCCAAAACAATCGGACTTTTTTTTTGCTCCCCTTCCACCGTCCAAGTCTTCACCGGGGTGACCCAACCCAACGTCCCAACGAACCTCGGCCCTCGAATCGGCGAATCCGGAGCTCCGAGGCTCGAGGAGCTCCAGGACTTGGAGACGAGGGACACCGCGCCGCTGGTCTTCGGCCTGGGCTTCGCCCCTCGGAGCGGAGGTGGGGCGGAGGTGGGGCGGAGGTGGGGCCGCGGAGGGGCGGAGAGAGGCGGAGAGAGGCGGAGGGGGTTGGAGCCGGTTTTTGTTGGGTTCAACGGGAATGCGCCCCAGCGGCTTAAACTTAAAAGGATGGATTTGTTTGGTTTCACGGGAACCGCAGAAAAAAAGAGGAAACAAATATCCGTCCCGGTGTTTTGAACCTAAAAGGATGTCCCGGGGTTTAGGGAATCAGAAGTGCACCCCCCTGATAGGAGGGGTTTCCTTATTATTCAGGGGTCAAGATTAGGCTAAAAGAGTTGGACACCTAGTGCTCGAGGGAGGTCTCTAGCACAGGGTCATTCGAAGGGACCCCAGATTAATTATGGTGCTTTTAAGGGTCAAAATGGGTGAGAGTGGGGCATGCTTGTCCCGGATGGTTGAGGTTGGCTAGAAATCAAATGAAGCATGTTGTTTATTTTTGAGCTGGGTTTCAGTCACATTCGTTGAGCTTCTGGTTTCTTGTTACGTTTGGAAGGGGCATTTGAGTGATACACGACATGTTTGACTTGTTTGGACCGATTCAGCTTGGTGTTGTTTCGATCCGGCAGCCAATGGCTGGCTGGTGGACGGACTGGCTGAGTTGCCACATTTGAAAAGCTAGGCTTGCCTTTCAGCCCCGCAGAAGCCGTTTTGGGGGTCCCGCTGGGCGCATTCAATGGAATATTTCACCCGCTTCTCCAAATTTATCTTCGGTCCCGGTGGTTTGTGAATGAACCACCGCTGAGCTGGGATCGTGTTGAGGATGTCTTACTAAACAGGAACCAACAGGAACCAACAGGAACCTGCAATTCCAAAGGTTACGGTTGGCAAGTTGCTGCTCGCCAACGCCCCAAAAGGTTGAGCCAAGGTCTGGTGACTGACGGCACCACCAAAGCCTGGGTGATTGACCACAGGTGCGGTCTTCTTTCCGCCCTTTTGTCAAAAATCAGCACAGGGCATTTCTCCTGACATTGCTGCCATGTTGACCATCCCATCCACCCCCCGACTTGTTATCGAGGGATCCATCCCAGCAAACATGGCTTGGCCTTTTCCAAAGGAAAGTCGTCTTTTGAGAGGGGTATAGTGGCTTTGTGAATATGCACGGGGAAGCGGACATCATGGTGGGGGTCTAACACCACCAGGTTGTTCATTGTGACTCGAGGCCGGGTGTTCCATGGCGGTTTGCGCCTCGCTGCACACTTGGCCACTTGGTCCGGCAGCAAAGAACAGAACCCATGCGCTTTGCCAAGTGAACGGCCACCCTATCCCCCGAAGTCCTTTGCCAGACCTGGCTCTGCACTTCTGCATCGGTTCTCTTTCTGTTACCTCTTTGAATCAGTATTCGAAGACTTGGGTCCACTTGGTTTGCCATGGGTGTGGGCACCTGTGCTTAGGCCTTTGCATTTTGCCCCGTGCAAGTCGGATGGAAATGGCAAAAGGTTGCGTTTGCCGGTTTCTTAGGCCCGAAAGAAAGCTTTCGGGCCCTTGTCTTGACCATGTTTCTCTCATTTCCTGGCCTGCTTGATTTTGTTTTACTTTTTTTTGGGAGACCCTTTGGGCACTAGGAATGCGCACGAGAGATCTCTATTTTCTGCGTGCAAATTATGTGATAGTGGGGGTAATCCTTCTTGGTTTGGGGGGTTGTCCCCGGTTCAGGGTAAATGGGGAACTAGTCCTCCTGTAATCTTCTGTTTGGCGGTATGTCTTGCTGAATTCCCAAATTAAGTCTACCCTAGAGCGTAAATGGGAAATTCGGCGTTAGGGGATTTTTGTTCAAGCCTCTGCAAGAACCAGAGGTTCAAACCCAAACCAGCCAAACTATTCAAGCCGCCAATCCAGGCCAAATAAACAAACGGTAGCCTGGTTTGGAGGAACCCCCCAAAAAGCGCAAGGACCCCCTCCTGGCACTACCTTTTGGCCTCCAGGCTACCAAACAAACGGCTTAGGGATCGCAACAAATCGTGTCAAGGCTTATTTTCAAGATCTACTTCTACTCCACATTTCGTCCACCCTAAAATTTGAAGTAGTCTTGGAGCGAGCCCAGGCTTAAGAGCATGACCCTACCATTGAAAATTCAGGATCCGTCATGCCGCGGTCCGCCGACTTTTTGGGCCCAAAGACTCTGGGGCTATGGGTTCACCCATTTGAAAGGGACAGTAGACACCACAGCCCTGCCGAAAGCAGATGGAAACAGAAGGCCCTTTTAGCCAGGCATGCACCAACCGACGTTTGGTTTGGTTTGGTTTGCGGCTTAAAGGGACCCTTCCACGTCTCCAAAAGGTACCGGGCTTCAAATCCCCAAGCCGATCCAAACTAGCTTGTTCAAGGCCACACTCCGCATGGCCTCATTTTTTTTTTTTAATCAACGCCTTCCCCTTTCCAAGTGGCGGGTGCAAGAGAAACAACCCCCCGTTTTCTCCCTTTGTTCCCTCCCCCCCAGAAACATGTTCTTCCCTCCCCCCCCGGAAATCGATTGTTTCATTGAAACCCGAATTGCTCAACTTTTGCTTGAACATCCAGCGACCCCTTCTCAACCCCGGATGGCGACTCATCTAATCAAAGAATTCCCTTCAGAAACAACCAGGTCCATTTTGCTGACTTGGACAACCCCAAGAGCCAATCAAATCTCTGAATACCCTTCAGAAACAACAGTGTCCAATTTTCTGACCTGGACGACCCCAAGTTTTCTGACTCAAGTTTGCTGACCTGGACCCCCAGAACTCTCAAAAAAAAAAAGAAGAAGCTGACTGGACAAGCCCCCAGCACCAACCCAGCACCAAACCGACTCAACTCGGAGCTTCGGAGCTCGCCCCCAGCCGAGCACGCCTCGAGAGCCCCTCGAGAGCCCTCGAGAGCGCGACTCGAGGCCCAGTCTGCTCTCCTTTCAGGGCTCCAGTCCTCTGGTGGCGGCGGGGGGCCTTTTGGCCACCACCGCCTTCCTGCACTGCCAGGCCACCGGAGAGCCGTCGACGGCGGATCGAGCCGGAGCCGGGGATCCACCGGATCCATGGGTCATCCATGGATGTTGGGGTCTCTTTCAAGGGGTTGGAGTTATGGAGGACATGGTTATACTGGAGGTCCTGGACTTGCGACTTTTTGGGGATATGGGTGTGGCTCAAGAGAAAAACCAAGAACAGAGGGGCAAGCCGCAGGTTCTGGTCCATGTTTTTCCACTTACCAGGGCAACCCATTTTGGAATTCCGTTTTTTTGAGCCACAGCCATATCTACTTTCTACGCCGGCCGGATTTCCTTATGGGGAAGTTCCAGCAGAACAAGCCCAGACCTTTTCTAGGGGTTGATTCTAATTCCATTCTTTTCAACCATCGTTCTTTCCAAAAAGCGGATCCGTTTTCCCTAGGTTTCCGGAGGCGTTCTGGAAAGAAGGATCCCTGGAAAGAATGGGGAAGGTAGCCCTGGAGGATACCAGTTTGGTGGACAACCACAAGTTGAAACCGTTTTTTTTGTTTTTCGGCCAATCCACCCAGAAATTTGGGTGGAAAACAAAAAGTGAAAGGTTATTTTCGGCCATCCACCCAGGATTTTTTAATTAGTGGACAACAAGAAGTTTGGACTTCTTTTGGGCCATCCACTCGGAACGGGAGAGGCGGGTTCCTGTCGAGGCGGTGGCAACTCCCTTAAGAGGAAGGTCAGAGAAGGATGCCCCAGTTATTTTGGGAGAGGACCTATTTTGGGGGTTGAAACGGAGAGGGGGGGGAAGTGACCCATGTTGGGGTAACTTTGATGGCTGAGTTTTGACTGGACCCCCATGCACCGTCATCCCCAATGAGCTAGAATCAAAACCCTGGTAGATGCGGTGTTTGTTGTTTTGCTTTCTTCCATGTACTGCTTTGCAGTTTTATGTTGTGTTTTTGTGTCACTTAAGTGTTACTTGCTTTGTTCTATGCGTTGCTTTGTTGTCGTGCTTCGTCTCTGTGTGCTGCTTTCTGTATGGTCGAGCAAAGGCCTCTAAAAGGCCGAAAAACAAGAAGGAAACAACAACCCTAGAGGGGAACAACCGCCCCCCCCCTCCCCTATTTTGGGCTTTGCTGTTGAAAGCAAGGTTGGAGGATTGGCCTCAGGTTGGGGGAGCCTGTTGACTTCGATGTTCCGCTCTCAATGAGGTCGCCACGGTGATCGATTCGGTATAGTGGGGTTGTGTGTTGTGTGGTGCGTATATTCGTCTTGTCTCACGGTGAACATGGCAAACGCAAAGGAGTGAACACGGCGAAACAAAAGGAAACACGGCGTGTCAATCGGAGAACCTGTCACTGGTGAGGGGTGCTTGTTGGTTTTTTGGTTCCGGGGCGAGGATTAAACTGCACCGAAGGTCCCCTATTGAATTCATATCCGAGTTCCCCAGCTGAAAGCCATGCATTTGGTCTCTAGATAAGCTCGATGGGGGTGGCAGCTTTCAGGGTTCAAAGGAGGGTTCAAAGGAGGGTTGCGGGGTTCCAGGGCCGGGATTCACCTTGCCCCCCCCCCCAGGTCGCTTTTGGTTCCCTGACGTGGGTCCCAACGCGTTCGCAAGGTGGTGGTGGTCCGCTGTGGAAGCTGCTCGGCAGTATTTTGCGACCAAGGCCTTTGATGGCACAGTGAGTCGAGGGCTTCAACCCCCAGCTGAAATATTATTGCGTAAGAATATGGCTGATTTTCCATCTGGTTTTAAAGGGCATATATCACTGGACATATTTGTTGACTCTAAAGGGTATCTGTCACTACTGTTCTTTCTTGAGGGGGGGTCAAGCAAAGGGAAGTAAACCGTTCGATCACTTTTTTCTTACAAACACTCCCGGCTGGAGCCGCGCGATATAACAAATTCTCCCCTGCAGATTGGTGTGGAGACACGGCAAACCCTGGGTTTAAGAGGAATCTGCTGTTGGGGACCCACGCTTTGGTTTCGGGGGTGAGTGTCACAGAGGCCAAAAGATCGTTCCTGAAAACTTACAATCGTAAAACAAATTCTCGAGGTGGACATATACGGGCAAAATGCGTTGAAATGAAGCAGACCCTGGCCACCTTTAAAGGGAACTAACATGAGGTTGGTTGCATGTGAGTTGTTTGCTGAACGGGAACGTGAGGAACCTTGGGTTCCCGCATGAGGGACCCTGTCCTTTCAACAGCACGAAACAAATTGCAAGAATTGCCGTCCCTCGTTTGCACATTGGAGTGATTTTCATATATAGTCACGGAAGTTTGCTTTGAAGGGGGTCAAGCAAACAAGAAGCGTTTGACTTGTCAGAAAAGACGGCGATTGGCGCCCTGAAAGATGGCCGCTTTGCTTTTCTCACCAGATGTCGTGGGATTGGTTCGTGGCCCGGGTGAATCAGCCTGAAAGATCCTGGCTTCCGTTAGGACCTGAGCGAACAGCTCGGGAGTATTGGGTTCAGAGTGTCTCCTTCCTGAGGACTTGCAGCTGGCTCATTGACAAGAGACCTTAAAGCTCAGCGTTGTTCGAGGGACTTGTTTCGGGGAACCCCTTTTCTCATTCGCCCAAGCGGTCCAAGCCGTCAGTATGGATGTGCGCCATAAGCTTTGGACACATCTGGAGGAGGGTAGTTGTGGTGCGGCGGCGATCCGTTTCATGCATCAGTGCCTTTCGGACGAGGTGGAGGAGGGGAGTGCATATTCCTTGCATTCCCAGCGCAGCCGCTTTGTGCAGCACGTGGCAGTCAGTGGTGCGGTCCCTGTGCCTTGCCTCTTGGCAGCAGGGAGGGAAGTCGACAAGGTGGCGCTGATGGACCAGCTCAGTGTGCTTCCGAGCTGAGATCGGAATGAGAAGCGATTCAGAAGCTGTAGTGGATCGGTTGCTATTTTTTGCGGGTGAAGTGGGCAAGAGCTCTTCTTGGAATGAGAAGCGAGGCTTGGAAGCGAGCAAGAAACTCAGAGCGTTTGAGCATTTGTGGCCACGTGCCGGGAATGAGAAGCTTTCTGCAGATCTTTGTCCGGCCATTGGTCGTTCAATGTTGGAGGACGGCGTGAACGTCATTTTCGTTGTCGGACACTTCAGCGCAGGGCATTTTATCCATGCTTGCTTTCTCGTGTTTGAACAAGCAAGGCTACAAACACACGCGTTGAACATTGCTTCAAAAGCTTTTGGTTGCACGTCCGACTCACCAAGCGCTACATAGGCGGGTATGTAGCCCTTTGGCAAATAAGATGTGTGGTTCTTGCAGCTGACTCGAGAGCAAGGCTTGGCGGGACAGGTAGTACTGCTGGAGCTTCCTTTTGAGATCTGGAATTGAGTTTCCATTTGATTTAGTATTGCTGGAGCTTCCTTTTGAGATCTGGAATTGAGTTTCCATTTGACTTAGTATTGCTGGGGCTTCCTTTTGAGATCTGGAATTGAGTTTCCCTTTGATTTAGTATTGCTGGAGCTTCCTTTTGAGATCTGGAACTGAGTTTCCATTTGATTTAGTATTGCTGGAGCTTTTTTTGAGATCTGGAATTGAGTTTCCCTTTGATTTAGTATTGCTGGCCCAAAAGTATCCCCCAAGCTTCAAGATGAGAGTAGGAGGTGGAGATGAGAGCCCTAAGCAAGGCAGCAGCATGAAGAGAAAGGTGTCAGAAGAAAGCATGAGCCCATTTGAGCCAAAGCGCCTTTTCAGCACACCATTCAGAGAAAGCATGGCAAGCAGCATGAGTCGATTCAACATCAGAAGCATCAGCTAGCACCACAAAACAGTTTACATTGTAATGAGGTCAAGAAGCAGTGGAGAAAATGAGATAGCAGCAGCCATCTGGGGGAGGGACCGGTTTAATTGGGGGGGGGGGGGTTGTTTTGCATCATTTTTTGTTGGGGGGGGGGGGGGGTATTTTCTGAGATATGAATTGTTTAGTATTGGGGGGGGTCACCCGGACCGGACTAATAGGGGGGGGGATTATTAATACGGAGTCAACATTACCATGGATCAGGGAGCAGCTATGTCCCAGCTACCCTTATGGGGTGGAAAGTGGGTTCTCCACGCACAAAAGGTTGGCAGGGACAAGGATGCTGCTAACCCAACGTGTCGCCGGAACGGACTGTCGCAGGAACGCGCTCATAGGATTTCGCCAACCTGCAGCGGGACAGCTTCAACCGAGTGGGCCTTTCTGAGAAAGCAGGCGAGGATGGGCTGTTTTTTGGAGGTGGACCGAAGCTAAGATTGCAGACTGACTGTGGGTGGTTCAAACGTTGTCCACAACTGAGAAGCGAACAGGATGCTGTTTCAAAACCACACCGAAAAAGGCCGGCAACAGGGAGCCGCAGGGAGGATGTGGACACAGATGTTTGAACTTGCTGGTTCTCAGTAAGAGATGCGGGAGTGCCCCAAACTGAGCCATCCCTTTTGGTTTCACAGGGCGCCCAGTTGTTCCCAAAGCAGAAGCCAAAGGCTTTGTGTAAGAAACACACCCAAAGAAAGCCGGAAAACAAAGGCAATCATCGCGCAGGAGGTCCTGGGGACCCTGCTTGCCGGTATTGGGTGCTTCCTCTTTTGTCAGTGGGAGGTTCCTGTTTCATCGCGCTCCGGCTCCCTTTGGTTAGTCCAACCTGTGGCTTGGCGTTTCAAAAAGTATGAGTGCTAAACTCGGTTGCCCAAGGCGTTTCGCTCAGGGTTTTGATCAATCATTTACGGCCCCTGCCGGCGGCAAAGCGGGTGGGAAGGGCGCAGGGCCCTGCTTTATCAGGCCTAGCAGGCGTACTTCCAAGGGCAGCCTGGCGCCAGGCGCGGATCGGTGTCGCAGGCGGAGCAAGAACTCAGAAGGATGAGAAGCTGAGTCTCAGAAGCGAGCAAGAACTCGTGAAGCGTCGCGTGTGGAATGAGAAGCGAGAAGCCACGGGTTGGTTTCTGGGGGCCAAAAAAATGACAACTTGCGTGTGGTCTTCCATACGTGTTTCTTCCAATAAAGGGAAGGTGCAAGATTGCCACCCAAGGATACGTTCAGGGCCGCCTGCCTCAGGAATGAACCAAGTTGTCACAACACATAGGTTCAGTTTCAGCTGTCTCACACACGCACGATGGGAATTGTTGCGCAGATCCATCGCTTGATGTGACGCTGGCCAGGCTATGTGAGTAACGACCACTGCCGTACATTATTGATGTCCAGCTGCTTGCCCCTCAGCATCAAATGGCCAGACGTGAGTGACGGGCGTGTGGTCAACCAGTTTGTGTTTGAAATCTCTGTTCTTTGGAACTAACCTTCCGTTCTGGAGGGAGTAACCTTCTGACATTTCAAGTTCTTAAGCTTCAGCTTGCTGTGTGTGCCACAATGCTGGCAAAATAAACACCACTACAAAAACGCAAACCTAGAGGACACAATGGACAGAGGACAGGCGACAGAAGACAGAGGGCAGCGAGCTTCCAAGAAGTGAGTGCAGCGCTCGCCTGCAGGTAAGCACCCTGCTCAAAGAAACAATTCTGAGTCCAGGCACAACATGCTTGCTGCAATGAAGATTTCCACATGCTCCCAGCAATGCACCATTGCCCTTGGCAAGCTCTCTTAGCTTGATTCTGGCATTTGCCATCGCAGTTTCCCAGGTTCGCTTAGAATCAACAGAGTTCGGATCAGGCATGGCCTCGTTCAGCTCATCTTCAGTGAGGATGCCATAGTATGTCCGCCACACACAATGGACGATTGAGAACCTCCTGCCGACAGCAACTGTTTGGACCTCTTTGTCTGGCGTGGTAGCAGCCGTGGGCAGTCCGACAGTGGACCTGGAACAGTGGACAGTGGCAGCAGCAGACAGGAGGCCAGGCAATGGCAAGCACCATGACACAGGGGCTTACTGCTTTTGCTTGAGCACTAGATGCCTGCCGGCAGCATTGGTTAAAGGGCCAAACTTTTCTAAAAGCGAAAAAGGCAAGTACAGCGCCCGTCTGCGTCAGCCAGCTCTTAGTTGACCAAATCGCGGCCATCACGCAGGCTGCGCGCTCGTTGACTGAGTAAGTCGCACACACGCGTAAACAGCAGCGCGACCCGTTACTTAGGAATCACAGGAGGCGCGCGTCAGCGCGGCAAGGGAGCCAGCGTGAAAGCTGCGCACCACTGCGCGGCAAAGCAAAGTTGACAGCAGTTCTGAAAAAAATGCACGTTCGTCCTCAGTCGTCATAGTTCATTCACAGTGTCGCAGCGCCGCGCAGCAAGCCAACATGGTTGTGCTTCGGGGTCGGGGGCCAGCATTTGTTGCCGGTCTTCGAGTAGTATCCGCCAGCAGCGCATCTTGATGCAGTCAATCACTCCACCTAATCCCACAAATTCGAGGCCACCCTTTCATTTCTCATGCCCAAACTTGGAACAGCCAAAAAACATGTGCTCAGAAGCACTTTATGTGTGTGCAAGGCTACTTGCCCAGATACAATTTGCAACCGCTTGCATGCGAACCGACCAGAGACCGCCACTAATACATAATTCCAGCCAAGCAGAAGCAAGAAGCCAGTGAAGAATGAAACCGGACAGCGGACAGTGGACAGACAAGAGTCAAACTGACCAAAAGAGAACTGCCAGCAGCACTGGTTGTTTTGGCGCAGGTTGTTTTGGGTTCGGCTCCCCGCGCCAAGATTCAATATAAGAA